GTACGTTTAAAAAATAACATAGAATTATTTTGTTAATTCGTGATCTTTATAAAAAATTTTCTTTCTAGGAAAAATCATAAATATCGCTCTTAGCGAACAAATTTCATCAACAACAACTATGTTCATTTGTACCGATGGCAATCAAATACCTTTGATCAATGTATGTGATGGTTCATTTCATTGCCCAGATTCTTCTGATGAAACAAGCAAATTGTGTCAGCATATACTGTAAGATTTGTTAATTGTAGTTTCATACATTATATTATGAACTGAGCAAAATTTTTATTTTATCTATATATCCTTTCGTAGTTGCCCTTCAAATATGTACAGATGCGCTTACGGAGCTTGTGTGATCCGTAAATCACGATGCGATGGCATCAAGGATTGTATCGATGGAAGCGATGAAGCTCGTTGCAATTTTCAATCTAATCAGACATGCTCCCTCAGAGAATATCAATGCTCTACGCCTCGGTTAGAGTGCATTCCCATCACAGATGTTTGTAATGGTATATATAAAGGATTATTTAATTAATCGTTTCAAAAGTTTCATAATAATTTATAAGATACTTTCCAAAATAGGATATATCGATTGTTCAGACAAAAGTGACGAAGATGTTTCACTCTGTCGAGAATATTCTTGTCCTGATCATACCTATCGATGTTCATATGGAGGATGTGTCTATCAAGAAGTTCTTTGTGACGGTATAAAGGATTGCTTCGATGGCACTGACGAAGATCCATCGATATGTGGAGCGACCAATTGCAATGGAATTGAATGTTCTCAATATGAGTGCAGGTTGATTATTTCTACATTTCTTTCTTAACTTCTTTTATACTTTCTATTTTATCTTTCAGACAAGATGAATTTGCTTGCGAGAACGAGCGACAATGCATACCTATTACCAAAATCTGTGACGGTATTCGCCATTGTAGAGATGCTTCCGATGAAAACAGTGAAATGTGCATTCAACGAGAGTATGAGGAACTGTTTATATTTAAATATTTATAAAATAAACTTTTGCTTAGTTTAAAATAACATTATATTAATAAAATATATTCAGATGTCGAGATGACCATTATCGCTGTTTTTACGGCGCTTGCATTCCTATCGAATTTATCTGCAATTTACGACCGGATTGTTACGATTGGAGTGATGAGGATGAAGAACTTTGCGGTACAGTTTTGCCCGAGGGTGCCTGTCGACTTCCTGGCCCGAAGACAGGAACTCACTATAAGACAAGAGGTTGTTTACGATGTCGACCTGGTGATGTCGTTCCTGAACTTACTCGTTTAGATTACACCTGTGACCCTGACGGATGGTTAGAGGGTTCCAATAGTATTTATTGTCAAAATAATCGATGGCTACCTTCTATCCCAATTTGCTCTAATAGTACGTATGATATAGCACTTATTTTATTGCTATATTTTATTGCATATTATAGACTTCATGGTTTTAAAGATAACGATACGTTGCGTATAACTTGTCCACCGATTTTGGAAACCAATGGAGCTATAAAAAGATGCGAATCAAAATGGGGACCACGTAAAGGTTGGATTTCTTGTGAAAACTCTGTGCCTATTGGAACGAACGCCTTTATTGAATGTCCTATGTTTTATGAGCGTCAAGCTGGATCCACGCGAATAATATGTCTTCACGATGGGACATGGAGTCAAGCACCATTAAGCTGTATTCCTGTTTGTGGAATACGCAAATCTTCAGGTTGGTAAATTGTTTTATAAAAAAATTGACATGACTCAAAGATGAAGTTGATTTTTTTACAGTTACATTAATTGTAAATGGTTGGAAAGTACAAAGCGAAGAATATATGCCTTGGCAAGCTACGCTCTTTTCGCATGAAAACGGTCAATGGAAATTTTTTTGTGGTGGTACGTTGATCGGTGAACGTGTAGTACTTACTGCAGGTCATTGCGTCTGGAAAACTCTTCCAGAAACAATACGCGTTGCTTTTGGAATTCTTTCAAACACATTAGATAACGTAGAAGCGAACGCTCAAGTGTTTGATATCGATAAAATTGAGATACAAAATTCGTACCAAGATCATGAAGGAAACTATGCTTCCGACATTGCACTTCTTATTTTGAAAATGCCAGTAAAGATAAACGAGTTTGTTAGGCCAGCTTGTATAAATTTGCAGTCTGATTTTACTCTTCTGCAGGCTCAAAAAAATGGAGAGAATGGCTTTGTGGCTGGTAGGTTTGTTGGGTAATAAATATAGCTATATTTTTGAAAAGTTACTGTAATCATTGAATCAAAGTTTTATATAGGTATGGGTATTACTGAGAATGATACATATAGTTCTACTTTAAGAATTACTTCGATGAGAGTTATTTCAAACGAAAAGTGTCGTGAAGCTCAGCGCAAGAATTTTAGAAAGTATATAACGTATACTTCGTTTTGTGCTGGTTGGGCAAATGGTACAGGAGTATGTAACGGTGATAGCGGTGGAGGTTTCATGTTGCGTCGACCAAATACAGCGATTTGGGAAGTTCATGGTGTCGTTTCAATAAGTCCTCGACGATTGGGAACTAGCATTTGCGATCCAAACTATTATGCTATATTTACAAAAGTAATTTTATTTATATTAATATAATGTCATGAAAGTATGTATAAAAAGCTCTTTTTGATCATAATATTTAATATTTTGATAATATTTATATATTATATTTTAGGTATCTCTATATGGTGATTGGATTCGTAGTATTATAGAAAAAATTCCGCTGATGGGGCCACCTGATATTCATTGGCAACCTAATAAAGATGATATTATCATTTAATAGAGAATAATTAGATTTATTCGCAAATGATATTTTTATTTTATGTAAAATTTAATGTTGTATCAATCATTCGAAGTATACGTATTATATATATATATACATACATGGCAATTTACAACGCTCACGTTTTTCCGATCTATTCGCTTCTGTAAAAAAAAGAAAATCTTGACAGTCCATATGAATATTTCGGTTATTATTATCGGATGTGATATTTTATTTCGTTTTATTAATTGAATATTTTTATTATTTTATTCATAAAATACGATTGATTTGGAGCAATATGGCAAAAAATATTATAACTCTTGGAAAGTTAAATAATACCGAAAACCGCGATGATACTATTTTGAACGTTACACGAAATCAAGTTGTTATATCATCTTTTCTTATACATTTATTAACGCAATGTTTAGATATCAAATAAAAATATTTTATTTAATGATATAATTGTTTATATTTTACATATAACTTATACTCTCCAAAATATAAGTTGAAATTTAATATTGATTACAGATGCAATGTACGGTTGTCCTGATGCAAGAAAATACAGAAATGAAACCTATTCCTACAATGGTTGAGGTAGTACCAATTAGCTATTATGATGACATTCAGATTACTCCAAATTTTATGGAATTTAAAGATGCTAGGGAAGGCCTTACCTGCAGTCAAAACATTGTTATAAAAAATGTTGGTATTAAGCCAGCATTTATAAGGATACGGGAACCAACTTCTTTGGTGGATAACAATAGATTATAGATAATTATTACATAAAGAACGATGCTTAATTTAATGATTAAATTATTTACATTATTTTTATAGGCTTTTCAAGTAAAGACTTCAAAAACAGGAGTGATGTTAAGTCCTGGATTAAGTATATCAAGTTCAGTAATATTCTCCTTTAAAAGACCTGCATTAACGCGTGCAATAATTCCAATTGAAATCAATGAAAAGACCCTCAATTACTGTGTAATTTGTACTCTTGTAACGGAACGCATTGGCATTAAACCAACATCGATTGATTTTGGTACTATCGATGTGGGCTACATTTCTGAACCTAAAGTAATAACTATCTTTAATGAAGGTGGGAAAAGTACTAGGTGATTATTCTTATTTAAATTTTCAAAAAAATTATTATCATTTGAGAAATAGGAAATAATCTTAAAATGTATTTAATTACTTACCCCCCGCGCACACACATAGATTTTCCATAGATATAGGCCAAAATAATCTTGATATAAGCGTGAAACCATTGCGAGGTATAGTCCGACCTAATAAAACGATAACTTTGAAAGTTGAAATAAAAAGTCTAAAGGAAGGTGTATTTTTTAATGAATTTTGGTAAGATTCTTTAAATCCAGGATTATTTTCACACACACACACACACACACACACACACACACACACCACACACCCACATATATATATATATATATATATATATATATGTTTACTTCAATTTTAGGATCAAATCAACTCCGAATATTCGAGTCCCATTGAAAGTGAATGTCATCACTCATCGTTTAATCATTTATCATCCAAATACAATAGGAGATTTCACTCTTATAGATTTTCCACCGACAGTAGAGAAAACGCGCAAGTATAATACATTTATTCTACGGAATATCTCATCTCAAGCCTGCAATTACATCGTGCTGGGCGAAGTTAATAATGAATTGAAGCCAATTCGGGTAATTGAAGAATAATATTTGGGTAATTAAGCATAATTTTATATTTCATGGAAGCAGCTACGAAAAGTATTCTTGAGATTCTAAGCTATTTTATAATAAATTAATTGAGAACAGATTAATTTCTTTCTTTAGACTATCAATCGCAAGGAATTTCCAGTTTATGGTGCTTTCGAAATTAATCCAACCGAGGGACGTATCGATTCTTTCGAGGGCATAATTTTTGAAATTGGGTGAGTCCACAATGAATTATAAAGTAAGGAAAATAGAACTTGTGATTTCAATATATAACTGAATATTTAGTTTTTGTCCAACAATGGGATCATTAGAATCACGACAAATATTACATAATGAAGAAGAATTAAGATATAAAAAAATGGAAAATAAGAATAATGATTTTATGGCTTTTATCAGAATAATAAAAATCCGTAAAGCAACAGTAAACATTTCGGGTGATTCTTTTTGCTATCAAATATTTAGATAAAAACTTTTTGTATATATATTTTATCAAATATAAATATATTTGTTTCAGCTATTGATAACATAAAGGAAACTTTTATTGATGAAGCCGTTGAGAAAGTTGACATGCGTCAGTTTTATATTCACATGTTAACTTATTCAAATTTTTTTTTACTATTTATAATAAAATATCTAATTTTAGAAAAAACATTTTTGGACTCCTCAATGTCTTCAACATCTCGTAGTAGTTCGATTGTTCAACCAGTCGATAATGTTGTTAGACTTTGTCTTTATGGCGAGATGGAAATAATTAAACTCAATCTACAGCCCGACATTCTATACTTTGGTGATCTAAATGTTGGAGAAATTTCTCAACGTGTCATTTGTATTTCAAATTTATCGAAGATTGAATCAGTCTCGTTTGAGTGTCAACCATTGCCAGCTGTTCAATTTATTCCAAAATCTGCAAAATTGAAACCTGAAGGATCTATTGAAGTGATCGTTAAGGTTCAAGCTAGAGAAAATGGTAAATCTGTATTTGCGTTACTATTTATCTTTATTAACTTTATACATCTTTTGAATTCAATAGTTGGATCTTCGTTTGTACTTTTAATCAATGTTATTATGGATTCTGAAGATTCAGTTTTATCGAAATATCCAACGAAAGTGAAAATCGGTACTTATCGCGTGACGTGCATGCTAAATGTTCTTCTCAAGACTAGAAAACCGATGACTCAGTTCGTTAGAGGTAATCTCTTCTGACTGTTGAATCATATTTTCTGTTATTTAGAAAAGACATTTTTTTTTTCAGGGATAACTCCATTGATAACTCATGAAGTTGGTTTTATGACGGAATGTGCTACTTTCGGTTCGAATATAAAGAAACCACAACAGGCAATGTTATTAGTTGAAAAAGATCCGAAAAGACCGTGGGCAAATAAAAAATTAATTAATGCAAATATTATTCTTGATAGTGTACCTGCTTATCCAAATGACACACAAAAATCTTTGAGACCTTATAGAGGATTACCGGTATGTATAATAGTTATCACACATTTATTCTATTGAAAACATTAAATATTTGTATATTTTAACTCTGTTTAGGTAAAAACTATTTTTACTGGTAAACTGCGTTACTCGGGTGGTCCTATTCATCCTGAAGCTTTATCTGTTAAACAAGCGAATACCGTAAATAAGCACCGTTTGTATTGGGCTGCTTATCTTCATATGTCACGATTATCACGTAAAAATATAATGGAAACATCGGTGGTGAAATTTTCTCATAATGCAGATAACGATGCTGAAATCATTTCTCGACTTACGCGAATTCCTAAACGGTTTAAAGAATTACCACGGATATTTCCTTGTGAGAAGTTTCTCGATAAGAAACCTTCGAGTTCTGAAATCAACGCTGAAGTGTTGATTCCGTTATCGCCGTTACAAATATATAATGTTTACATTTATCCTACAACAATCGATTTTGGAATGGTAATTAAATTAATATGATTTTAATATAAATAAAATTGGCAAATGTGTCCTTCTTAGGTGGCATGGAAAACATTTAGCTATCAACAATTAATTGCTTGTAACAAAAATGAATTTTCGATAAAAATTCAATTTATAAGTCGTTTAAAAAATATTCGATTTCCTGAAGGGGATACAATAATTTTACAACCTGAAAAAACTATGACAAAGCTCATTGAGTTTTACAGCGATCGAATGGGAAAATTTAATAATTTGATAAATTACAATATCAATGACAATCACCTTTTCGAACTGAACGTAATCGCAGAAATTGTACATAAGGATTTATCCATCAATAAGCGAGAAATTATAATTGGAAAAGATTATTTGGAAGATGAATCATATAGGCCACAGTGGTCCATTATACAAATTAGAAACAAATTGGATGCTCCAACATGCTTCAAGTCTGTATTTAATTAATATAACTGAAAAAATGACAAAACGTTTTCTTTTTAATAGAATTTTTTTTATATAGATGGAACATACCTAATTCTTCTAGTTTCTATATAGAGCCAAAATATGGTATTATACGAGGTAACAGTATCTTAAATACGTATGTGTCGTACAATACTGATTTTTCAAAATCACCTTTTGCTGAGATGATTATAAAATGCGAAAGCGGGACTTTTTCGACATTGCAGTGCAATGTCGTATTACCCGTAAAGCCAAAAGTTGTATTCGTCAATAATCGTACAAATTTAGGGGATATATCTCTTAATTTACCATCCAGAGCGTACGGAATTTTATTTAATTCTGAACTCACAGAGGTTTTTTATGAGATTGACTCAGCATCTTTAATACGTGGATGCGAAATTGATCCACCGAATGGAATAGTACCACCACGAGGGATTGCTATTCTCGAGGTTTCTTTTTAATTTTTTTCTTATATAAAAAATTATTCATATTATATTTAATAAAATATATCTTTATCAGGCATCTTTCAAGATCGATGTATGTATCGATTTTAATGTTATAATATGCATTATCGTTCAAAAGCATATAAAATTACAGTGGAATGTTACAGGAAGCGTGCGATTTCCACAATTAAAATTTACACCATGTTCCATAGAACAGCATCGTGTAATCATCGATACATTTCAGAGTCATCTGATAACGGTCAATAATATTGGAACAACTAGGTCAAAATTGCAATTTGTTTTAGAAGAGTATCCTGAATTTAGCATTGTAATAATACCAAACAAAAAGACTAATATCGTTGGTATGTATTATTTTCTCGTAAAAATTGTTTGCTATGTTATCTAATTTTATATTTTCTTTGTAAACTATTAGAAGAGGAGACGAGTGTGATAATTCCAGCAGGATCAAGTATGAGTTTTTATCTACAATTTCAACCACTGGATCCAGCAAGTTATGTTTTTTATCTTCCAATTGTTATCAATGATTTACTTGGACCAGTATTGGAAACAGATCCGAAAACATTAAAATCCCAGGAATATCTATTGTCACAAAAAGAATTTTATAAAGATATAAAAGGAATTACGTTTCTTAAATTACCCTTGAATCTTCCTATTATTTCTATTAATTTCACGGTTGCTGGACGTGCTGTACTGTTTAATAAGTTCAAATTTAATTTTAATGTCGCCAGCGACAATGTGAGTCTTAAGGAATAATGTTGATAAAAATTCTTTAGCTTTACTTTTGGAATAATTTGTACAGGTAATAGATGAGCTTAGAATCGACAATCCTGATACGTTGAAAGAAGTTGTAATAACTATAAAAATAGATAATTTCATAGAGGAAGACTGTCCGTTTTATATCCATTGGTCTTATGGTATCGTACCAATGATAACGTCAACGTCAATTGTATGTACGTTACTTCCAAGAGAAAAAACTGTTTTTTCTATCGGATTCAAGCCAAATTGTCGGGGAGCTTTTAAGCTCGAAGCTCTAGTTTTTATACGAAGGAATACAGAAGATATATTATTTAATACAATTCATTTTGATGGTATTAATGCAGAAGAATCAATGAAAGCCGACGTCTCTGAAATATATCTTTTACCTGTACCTTTTAATACTTGTATAGAGGAAAAATTCAAACTAAAAGCTCAATACTTTGAGCATACTTCGAACATTTCATGGAATATATTACCACCTGATAGATGTAGTGGTTATTTTAAAAATGATATGTTAACTATTCGCTTTCCAAATAATAATATTATTCCTGCTACATCGTAAGTAATATTGTATTATATACATTTCTTTTTATACGATAAAATAATAATTAGTTACGATATTAAATTATTACTTTAATTTTAAGGTACACCGAATTAGATGTTATTGTCTCGTTTAAAAGCAATTCAACAGTATCATTTTGCACAAAGATTGAATTTCACGCTGAACGAAGCCTTGTTGTATGCTTCGTGACAGTTTATGCGGCAGCAGATAATAATTTGCTGACAACTCACGTTTATCTTACAACTACGTTCAATTATAATGACAAAATAATTTACGAAAAAGAAATAGCAATGCCTGTTACGAATTCAGTTATTGAATATGAAACAGAAGAAAATGATTACAATAATAAACAGAATTCTTTATACATTCCAAGACAAGTATATTTTTAAATTGCATTATACATTATATTTAAACGATAAATTTTCGTTAAATGTTCTTTCCTCTATTTGCATATATTAGAGAAAAAATTCTATTGTAATATCACAAACCAGAATTTCTTACCAAGAATCATCCAATGTTAAAAAAAAATTATTAACTTCGAAATTTAATATGGAAAAAATTGAGAAAGATGAAATTGATGATAACGAATATATCCAGGAAGAAGAGGTATTTTTAAACCAAACTCAAAGTCTGGAAGATTTGTCTACTTCTTCTATCGAAATATCTGTTGAGGATAATAACGTTTCTAGCAAAATTATGTATCCTTATTTTCCAGAGAATAATGGAATTGTGAAGTAATAGCATAAATATTATTTTAGTTATGTATTATATTATATATACACGTATTTGTGGCATAAATTTTATTTTGCAGTGATTATGAACAACATATGCATGGTATACTACTATGCGTCGACCAATGGTTATATACAAATATTTTTAAATATAGTTTCTATGCAAATATTTCGAATGGTATCACAGCTATTTTCTCGTTCGTCAATCAAGAAGAAACAAAAAGTAGTAATATTAAAAAAAATAATCGATCATTTGGTAAATCTTTCGTCGATGTATTAGAATTATTAATAGGATCAAAAGTTTATAATTATGTTGAGAAATTGTAAGCAATGTGTTTCATAAATCAATGTTCTTTCATTATTATTATATCTTAAATATAGTCAAAAAGAATATCATTTCAATGTTATTAGGCCATCATTGCCTCTGGATGATATTTTACGAATTGATGTTATCCTTCGACAATATGAAAGAATACTCGAGTTTTTACTCGAACAAGGAGCATGTTTGGCTCATGTATCAGCATACTTTCTTTTGAATTACAATGATTATATTACTTTCATTGATTCCATACAATTTTCTGTAAGTTCGTGCTGACGATTGAACTATAAAATATCTAATAAAGTATATTTCGCAGTTACAAAGAAAGAAAATAGAATCTTATCAATTTACAAAATTATCTAAGTCATTATTCGAATCAAGAAGCAAACAATGTTGGCTGGATTTAATTTTGCAAACATATAAATGTTTTAAATTAAGTCATATAAATGAGAATGAATTGAGAACAAAATTAACAGTATGCTCAGAAGAATTTTCAAAGCGATTTACAAATTATCGAGAGTTCGTGTCGACGACTGAAAGGTTTGAAGAGAATTCGTTTTAAATGTAGTTCTTATAAATAAATTATTTACTTTAATTATCACTTTTTTTCAGTATTCAAAGAATGATAGACTTTCATGATAAATCCGTCGAAAATGTTATCAATCTTATGCACGAACGTATAAAAGAAAGTAATGATCGTTCGAACGAAGAAGTATTATTGTTATCTTGGTTGTATCATCATTATGAAGAACAAAGAACTCAAGATTGGTTAACCGATAAAAAAATAACATTAACTTCATCAAAGCAAAATAATATAGCACATGAAAAGAATATCAATAATTTCGATTTCATTTTATCAGACGGCCTCATATTAATCGCAGTTACTGGTGCTTATTGTCCTTTTCTAATTGACGAGTATTTTTCAAATTTATATATTAATCCCAAAAGTATCGAAGAGGTAAATTATATAACTTGCACTAAAAATAAGTTTCTTTTATGATGATTATTAATACATCTGTATGTATAAAATTGAAGGCATTACACAATGCAATTTGTTTGGTAACCAGCTGGACAAAAATTAGACTTGGTTTTATGATAACACCCTCACAAATTGTTCATCCTAACAGTGTGCAAATGTTGATGCTAGTTGTCCATTTGTTTGAAACTTTACCTTCCTACTTACCGAGATTAAAGGTTTGTTATTTAAACATTAAAATTGTTTTCTATCGAAGATAATAACATAACATGTGTTTTTTTTTTACTAATAAAGATAAGATTTAATTGTCCTTTAACGAAAACTGTCATTAAACAAGTAACTTTTACAAATGTAACGGATAATCCAGTCGAATATTTGTTAGTTTTTATTGGCAACGACAATGGTTTTTTCTCGTTAGTACAAACTCAATCGCACATTCGTATTAATGCTCACGACGGCGTACAAGTGAAAATATGCTTTCATGCAAAAAAAATAAGAAAAACAAAAGGTACATAAATAACGATACTTATACGTAACACTATGTTTACATAATCATATATTTTGTAGCGTATTTACTTCTATGCGGTGCTGCATATGGCCCACAATTTGGTATTAATCAAACTTATATATTGGAAGGTAACATTAACAACTTAGAAGTATCGCAAAAACACATCATACGCAGTAAACTTTATCAAATCTTGAATACCATTTTAATCATTAAAATACCATATAAAAATGCAGCAGATTACGAAATATGGATGACGGAAGAGCAACCGAATAATACATGTAATATATACATCATGTCAAAATATCCGTCTGAAATTAAATACATGTATTTTTATCTAGCAAATTTAAAAATGACAAAATGGTCAGAATTACGAACAAGAAAAGTACTTAGAAGATTATTTTTGAACCAAAAGATTATCACAGTTGATGAAGATGTAACGGAGGTTAATTTAGGAATCACCGTTGCATGTGTAACACCTACTACTAGAAAATGTTGGCTCATTTGTCTATCTGAAACGGGCGACTTCATTATTCAAGTATTAAATTCTTATTAAAAAATTTATAAATTATGTGCATATAATTAACATTTATCAATATAATAATATAGATAATTTCACGTTGTCAACCAACTGTAATCGATCATATTGTGGTACAGTATAATAAAGAATACAAAGAGTGTATTTGCACTGATGACCGAGGATCGAATGCGGATTGTCCATGTAACGTTACAGTTCTTATACCATCTCGGAATAATAAACTTTGGGACTGTATAGCCCATATGTTCCAGAAAACATTAAATATCCAAGAACGTGCGTTCTGGTCTCGATATTTAGGTAACACTAAGTTGTCTTTTTTTTTTTTTCATTTTCATTCAATGAAAATACCTATTTTATGAAGTTACATGACGTATCAATTATTAGACACATATATTGGATTAAGACTAATACACTGGTTCATGGGTCATAACACTGAGACCGCGAATTTAGAATTCACGCATATATTTAAAGCAAAAGTTATGTTCTCTGTTTCTGCATCAAAAGAAAGTGATCTTCTCACAGTACCAGAGACTTTTATCATAAATGGTAAGTATATTTGCTTAATTGTAAGTGTCACCCTTCTTGCTGTTTGTTTAAAATTTTTTTTGTTCGTTTATATAATATCTGAATTATGCTAAAGGATTGATTTTTTAAATATTACTATGTACGCAGACGTGAGATTAGCAAATCAGTACGTTCCAATGATTGTTCATCTTTTACCGACTGATTTACAAGTATATGAGACAACGTTATCTTTGACTTCTGAAGATGGTAAAGAATTACGGATTTATGAAGTCAGTTTTTTGCATGTCGATGAGTGAGTACAATTTTTAAATACAATTAATACTTAGTTATTGATTATACAATACATCTTACGAACGCAAGGAGATAGGAATAAATTAACAACAGTACGTTTTTTTAACGTACATGGATGTTTTTTAATGTACTTTCGTTTGTTCGCATAAAATTACTGGTACACATGTACATTTTTTTTTCTTTTTTTTTTTTTTTTATATGTAAGATATACATAAATTTATTATGATATAATAAACAAGAAATATCGTCACACTGAAAATTTCATAAAAGAAAATTCAAGTCTTAAAAAATCGTTCAATTCCAGAGAGCTTTGAGGTATAATATTATTTGCGAACAAACATTAGCCCTTTCACATGGATGTAGAATATTCGTAGATAGGGCACGCAATAATGATGCTCTAGGACAAGTTAACGTTATGTGAACATCATAGATATTTTCTTTAAAATTTTATCAACGGAATATGTGCTCGACGTCTTATTATTTAAATTTTTTGAGTTTTTCTATATTTTTTTTTCTTTCCTTATGTAATGTATTATTAAATTTTTGCGCAAAGATATACGCAATATTATCATTAACTTATCATTTGCTGAATGAATAATATACTTTCGATTAATTATAATCGGCAGAATGTTTAATAGTAACAAGTAACCACCATCGGTATAAAATATCTTTTTGTTTCCGCACGTAAATATTTCGTGCAATGTCTTTCGAATCAAAATCAAATAAGACAAAATAATAAAATACTTATGGACATGAATGCCGAACTATATGATTATTTTATAAGATAAACTGGCAGTAAAAGATATTTATAACAATTTGACGAACCTATAAATGTTCGTAATATCGTTTACAACGCAATTATTATCGAAAAATCAAAATCATTATTCAATATTCGTTAAGTTCCTACGTCTTTGTTATTAATAAACACAATAGATTAGAAAACATCGTATACATCGTTGAAGGTATACGCATAAAAATGATTCTTTAAAGAATTTAACGTAGATTTTTAATCAACACGTTATAAATAAATGCCCAAGTCAAAATATTAGATTCTATAGATAACAGTTAAAAAAAAAAAAAGAAAAAAAAAAGGCACGTGCAACAAATCAAGAATAATTTTGAATTAAAATATTACTTGGCATTTATTTGAAACGCATAATGAACTCTATGTTTACTTTTAACTGGCTTTCAATGAAACTTATAAATTATAATCACGATTTATAGGAGTGGATCAAAGTAGGAAGTCAAGAAAAATAGGAACTACAACTTCCCAATATAGAATATACAAATGTTAGAAGATTATCGCACATATGTTACGGGCTTATTTTTACAAGTCTATTAACATATTAACCTACAAGTGCGAGCTTCAATGTCTGCCAGTTAAAATAAATTTCTTGTGTCTCAAGAAATATGCGTATTTGAAAATAAGAATTGTGTAAGTAAATTATCGTAACATAATTAATAAATTATCTTATAGTATAGCGTCAAAGAATTTTTAGAAGCAATCAATATATGCATATAAAATCTATTCCCTCCTCCCTCAATACATGGATATTTGGATAATTGCGTTTGATATTGAGTCTAATACGCAGATGAATTTAAGCTATATATTTCTTTCATCATCCATCAGTATTTGACCATAACTTGAAAGATTTCTGAAGGTATGCAATACATGCCTTTTTTGTGTATTGTATGAAAGAAATTACTATGATGCTTTCATACTTTATCGCGGTTATGTAATTTATGCTACATTTTGACCGCGAAAAATACGTACTGCTTTATTCGATTATGGTCTTGTATGTCGATAATGTTATCTGCACTATTTTTGTTTAAATTACATTTATAACTAATAAGCAGTACATATGTCAAACCTTTCGCTTACGTAATTTAGCTTTCGCTTCTTTTAGAAGAAGATCAAATGTGTTATCTTCGTTATCTTGTGATAGGCTGCTGCCGTTAAGTGAATTACTGGCTAAGCCATCTGTAAAAATAAGAAAATATTTGTATTAGTGATACTAATTATGCAGTCATATGTCGATTGTAATATTTTTATATGTTTTTGCACTTTCATACCAAGATCTGCATATTTTACTTTGCAAAATGCTCTACGACCTCCAAAGCACAACTCATATCTAGGCAAAGTTGGATCATCATTTCCATGTTCTATAGCTTCGTATGCATCATTTTTATATGCGAATATTACGAAACCATAGTTATCTCTGTAAATCATCATTTAATTGTATTATAATTTAATTATTTTTATTTTTATTTTTATTTTTATTTTTATTTTTATTTTAAAAGTAAAATATTTTATACCCGTGTTCACGAAAATGTACACTTGTGTCTACAATTGGACCAAAGGCTTCAAATCTTCTACGTAGATCAGCTTTTGTAATTCCTTCATCTAAACATCCAACATAGACTATTCTCCTTTCTTGAAGTTGTCTTTGCTTTTCTCTGTCATACCAATTATCGTATGGTCTACGATAAGAATTCGGTGGTGATCTAGCAATAATAAAATACAATAAATGTCATACACATTTAATTAGGGTTTCTTTATTGGGTTAATAAATTAGACTGTCATAAGGTAACTATGTATAGTTAAAGAAACTTGCTCTGACAAAATACGAGAATCTATTACGAAATTAATTAATGCGTTTAGAATAAAGATTTTTATTCTAACTGGATTAGATAAACTCATCACAAATGCAATTTCATTGGTCCAAAAAACCAGAACAATATGAAAATTGATTGGAAATAAATTTACCTCCTCCAGTCTCTGTAGTTGCGATAATTATCTGTAGAACGTCGTCTGTGCCTATCGTAACTTCTTTTGCGTTCGCGACTACCCCTTCTTCGGCGACTCGACCATTTCTTCTTTCCGAAATTTGAACGAGAGGAAGACCTACAATCACGCGATATTTTCGATTCTTTAACGAATTTTACACGAATCTACTAGTCAGTCTTCATTATTACTCTACAAACAAATTTTTCCATGTTCCTAACATATTATTGTTTTACTTTCAGCAAAAAAATCTACTATTTTCAACAGAAAAAGACTTTCAATCGATTCTCTAGTCATACATTTTTTTATTTGTCATTAATTTTTATGTACCTTGAACAACTAGAGTATCGGGAGGAAGACCTGGTTCTTGAGCGTGTCCTTGATCTTGATGATCTAGAACGCGAACATGAATATCGCGATCTAGATCTCGAAGTGGATCTCGTATCTGAGCGAGAATGAGATGTCCAACTTGTACTCGAACTAACTGAACTACGACGGTGACTTATTCTTCGACGACGAGTATTACTCCGCCTGCAAGATCTGCTTCTGCTTCGACTTCTGTTTTTGTTTCTATTTGTACTTCTACTTCTACTTTTGCTTCTACTTCTACTCCTAGTGTAAGATCTGCTTTTACTTTTGCTCCTTGTTCTCGATCGACTTGAACTAGTAGTAATCCTGCGTTTTTTATAAGTCCGCTCCTCCTTTTTGTCCCTTATGCGTTTGTTTCTGTAAATCATCAAAATTCTTCTTAGTTTAATAATAAAAATGAATATTTCTTAATTGCAATCTCTTTTTTATTTATTTTCCTAAATGTTAGTTATGGGACATTGAAATGTAAGCAACTATTTGGTTGAAATATATATTTTGTATGTAATATTCTCACCTCTGTTCTTCATTTCTCTCATCAATATCCACTAAAGATTTCGTAGGAAATTCAAACACCGTTTCGTATGTTTGAATTCCCATTTCACTAGTCGGCGGTTTTCGTTTCACTTTTTCTTCATCTAGATCCGCTTTTGGTTTCAAAACTGAAATAATTTCTCTTTCACACCAACTAAGATTTCCAGAGTTATCTTTAATTGGTTCGGTTGTAGTGGAAGCATGATGAACATATAATAATGCCATTGGTTGAATGGGTGAATTTGTTCTGCTACTATCACTACGATTTTGCTCTCTTCTGCTTCTGTATTCAGCTAAATTTAATTTTCTACGAGGAGGCTTTTTCGTTTCTTCTTTCGAAGACTCTTGAGTATTTTGAATTATGATATTTTGTACCTCGTCATTTGAGCTATTAGTAGTAGTTACTATACTCTCATTAGGATTAGTGGTAAGAATTGGCTGTATTGTATTTGGTGGTTTTTTTAATACAGAAATCATTTGCTTGTTAGGTTGTACTGATCTTACATTATTTAATGCATCTTTTCTTAACTGTAGAATGCTTGTAGCTAAAGCCGAACGTATTTTCATCTCGTAAACAGGTGTTGGCTTATTTAAGGAGGCATTCTGAGCTTTTGGTATATTTTCTAACATTAAGTTTCTCGAAGAATGTTTTGTATTTTTTTGTTCCTGTAATTGAGTATCTTTGGGACACTCTTTTGTCTGCTTACTTATTTGTTTTTTAACTTCATTCATACGATTATTCTTGCATGATGAAAGTTCTTCACTATTGTCACTTATTTCTTCGATTTCTAAACCACTGTCTTTTTTTAAATTCCTATCAACGCGACTTTCTTCACTCTTTGCAAGATTTTTAGATTGAGTAACTATTGTTCGGTTTGTAACTGTAGCATGGTAATCGTGTTGAGATTTATTGTCTTTGCTTACAATTTTTTCACTATCACTAGAATGTTTTTCATATTCACTATTACTGTTCAAACTGTTAATAGTGGAACTGGAACTGCTACAATAATCATGATCCAACTGGACTAATCCACCATCAATTGTTCTGGTATTAGCATTATTAGTCACCTAATACAATAACTTCTAATTAGTGAATATCCTTATTAAGTATTTCAAAATTCACACTTAACAGAAGAATTATACATTTTATACAAATCGATTGAATTATTAAATATTAATATTTCAAGAATTTAATTATTAAGATAATTAACATATCTGCAATTGTACAATAAAAAAAATATCTGCCCATAATTTGTTTGTAATTACATTCAGAAATTTTTTATTATCCATAATCTATATTTCCACAGATTAAACTTAATGCAGATATGTAAATATAATCTTAAATCAATTAAAAGTATTTACAAATTTCAGTCAGAAACGTAAGATTAATCTACTGTTAAAAGGTGGAATTTTCAAAATAACCTGAATTCATTATACGAATTTTGTTTAGAACTATAACTTCATGCTTAACTTACTATTTTCAAAAGCTTATTTCGCGTTAATGTAGCAGCAGCATCTTGCATTCGTGTGCCATTACTACGAATTCCTCCTTGTGTACTTGGTATTGCAGGAATTACAGAAATTACTTTCTTACGTCCTGACGCCTAATATAAAATATAATCTCAATGAGATATACTAGTTTGACTTTATATAGAAAAGAATGAAAGTTATTATTCTTAGCAATCACCTTTATCCTATCAATCACTTCTTTAGGCAGTGAATCACGGATATTTTTATGTAAATTCGAAGATTGTTTAGTTGATTTCTTTGGGAGGACAGATAAAGTTTGCTTTGTGGACGGTTGTATCTTACTTGATTGTATGTACATACTTTGATTTGATTCTATTGAAACTTTATCACGACACAATGTCTTCATAGCAGAATTTTCAGATGCTTCAAATTGTTCTAGTAAACTTTTAACATCTCCAGCTTCTAACACTATAAATTAAATATTACACACGTTTTCATAAATATTATATTTAATATCTATTAATTATTATAATTATAGATTATATTACCTGGCACTTCACCGGATACTGTTTCAATATCAACGCAATCTTCAGTTTCTGCTTCGTGACTTACTCGCATTGGAATTTGCACTTTTGAATTCTTTTTTCTTTTTCTCTGTTTTGTGGGAATTTTTTTGGCATCATTGCGTGTTTTTTTTGTTAATTTACTTTGAGTTGAAGTAGTATTATTTTCATTTGTAGATTTCTTCTTTTTTATATTTAATTCCTTTTTAGAATTTTTATTATTTTTATTTTGTGTACAATTTGACTTATAATTAGCAACTCCTGTATTGGTATAAATTATATAATATAATAACGTTTAAGTGAAAGATCATTAATTTTTAATGTAATCGTGTCAACAACACATAAAAAGATAACTGCAAACATACCTTCATCCTTGTTTTCCTCTTCAACATTAGATATATGTTCAATAGTTTTAATATTTCTTTCTTCTATAACTTCATTTTCTGTGACATATGAAGTTGAATTTTCAAAACAAAAATTCTTTTTATCTGATGCTGTCATATTTAATCCTATAATTTCCATGTATTCTTCCATATCAGATGCCTAAAATAATTTTCTTCTAATAAACTTATATACAAAAAATTCAATAATATATTCAATAATATTTCAATAATATATGGTCGGATAATGCTTCTAATTAGTACGATTAAAATAATAAGTTAATTTGTTCAAAACGATTCCCAACAAAACACTTGCCTGCAAATATCCAATATGTTCCTGCCAATCAGTGAGAACTTTTGCAAAATCTTCTTTAATATCCATTTTATTTACAACAGAATTAACATCTGATACTGATAAATCTACTATATTGGCATCATCCCTATAAAAATATCATTTAGAAAATTGGTTCTTTTTTTAAAATAATCTTGTTAATAATTAGTGCAGATTTCATTATAACTCACTCTTCTTCATTTCCCCATATAATATCAGAATTGGTAGCATCAAGATGTGTTTCCATATATTCAAAATCATTTTCTACTATGTGCATTAACAAGTCATGAGGATTTTCCATTAAATTATGCTGCAATACAATAATTATGCTAAGATGTACAAATCAATGTTATAAATAAAGAAATAGAACATATGAAAAATATTAACATATGTAAACGTCATATTGAATTAAGATTTAAAGTTTTTGCATGCATTTTATTTTTTACAAAAATATTTCTTTGAAGAACAATGCATCTTACAATTTCTTCAAATTTAAATGACACGTTTTATTAATATAAATAAAGGAAAACATTAATAGAAACAACGGAAAAATAACAATAATTACCTCGTCCAAAGGTAGGGAAAAATCTGAGAAATGTTCCTCATCGTGAAAATTCAAAAATCCCGTTTCCATGACACGTTCCGGAATTCGTTTTATTACTATTGCGTAATCACAATCTGAAAGATCAAACACAAAATATTGACAAGAGTATTTGACACAACATTGGAGAAAGGCTGTGCGCGCTATTATTGCTGACCACGCGCTCACTTTAAGGTTATGTCACGATTCCGATGCAACGCGCCACACGAGTGATATGAACACGGCCACTTAAAAATCACTGTAAACACTCGAGATATACTCAACGAAAAATAAGCGTCACGTATATGAATTTATCAAAGAACACGTTGATTTGATAATCATTTTCGCGCTAGAAATGATAGAATCACGACAAATGCCGAACGTCGATGAGACACGCGGTACCGTTACCCTTCCGGCAAAATCCGCGTGTAATCGTGCATCTCCGCACACGTTTCGCGAGGCTATTGACATGGAACTAACGAGGGAAAAGAACCTTACTGTAATGTAGGGGAAGTAACATCAAATCAACATCGAGAGAATTCTGCACATTTGTGGTAAAATTGTAGATGCAACGTATATGAAAGCAAACATCCGTATGTCGAAAGTGGACGCGTTGCTTTAAAATTCACTCTCGCCGCTTTCTTAACGAAGGGTATACATGGAGGCGTTCATCTAGTATTACACGTCTAGATGTATGTATATGTGTGTGGGTGTTTGCGCTACACACAGTAGAATAAGAGAATTCACAAAAACATGCATATAGTTGATGAGAGATAGAGACACACATACACACACACACATACACATACACATACACGACAAGCAAACAAAATTGTGCGCGTACAATCAGTAAGACGCCACGCCTCCACGAACCGAAGCTGAACGGTTGGAACCCGAAGTGACCACTCGACCGTCGTATTTTTTGAACGTAAGAAGGACAGACAAAGATAAGGAATATCCTGTTTGCGAAGAAAGAAATGGCGGACGATCCTAATACTTGGAAATGAGATGTTATATTTATTCTACAGAAAAGTATCGCAAATCGGCAAATGCGGCATGTGCCAGAGTACACGAGGAGCGCCGTCTGCCAACACGACCTGCCGCCCGTTGAGCACCTACATATTTAGCCTGGAATCCTCGGTATAAATAACACGTGTTCACGTAACGACCCGTTTAACGCACAACGCATTGATGAACATGTAGAATTTGTCGAAAAGCTTCGAGATTACTTACGCTCGAATGCATATACCTATACAATACACAACCATTCACTGTCTGTACACTGTCACATGTGATCGTTTAATCACGTTCTCAACACGACGCACCGCTTTTTCCCCTCTTGAAGTCTATCGTCTTGCGCACGAACGTCCGAACGCAACGCGACGCATACAATTCACTACTATTCGCATCGCATGTATATATAACCTGCAGCCTACCTTCCCCTTTTTCCCCCTCTCTGGTTATACTTTCCCTCTCTTTCTCCGTTTCTTTGTATGAGTGCGCCATCGTACCGCTCCTCTACTGCGCATGCGTACCTATCTTCGCGCCTCCAACGATGGTTGGAATTCTTTAGCAAATTTATTTTCTATTTTCTATTTCTTTGTTGGCGTTGATTCGAATTATAGATACAATTATTATAATTTCTATATTTTTCAATATCAAATCGTTGATTTATTTTATTTTATCAGTAGATAATAGTACGTAGAAGATTGTATAAGAAAATAGCAGGTAATATATTCTAAGTTTAACTTAGGAAAACGCACGTTTCAATTATTCTCTCTCCCTCTCTATATATATATATATATATATATTTTCTCTTTTTGTTGCACATACGTAGATCGTTATCTTTACATCGATAACCTTTGTTTTTACGCGTGTAAAGTAAGGTTAATTATTCGAATCGTCAATTCAATATTTTTTTTCTTTTTAATTGGAATTTGAATAATTCTTTCAGAAATAATATTTATTAACAAAGAAGAAAGTAATGAATCATGACGATATCCTAAGGAACTTTTTCGAAACTTCTCTTTTACTTAAGAAACTTGTGTTTTTCGAAAACAATTTTGTTGTTTACTTAGAACAAGACTATTTTAGTTTGATGATCTCATTTATAGATATCTGTTGCATTTTATTTTTTTCAATACGGTTGTTTACCGTAACCAAAGAGGGTTGGTTTCTACGGTAACTATATGTCAATCAAAAACAATGTGGTTAAGAGCATGAGTCACTTTCTCATTGCCATCATTATCATTCATTTTCCATCGGATAACCGAAGCAAACAAAGTGACAATAGGTATTTCGAAAATGTAAACCAAATATTATGTATCTAATATATTTTTAATAGACCGTCATAAAGAAAAAACTTGGCTCTAAATGGCATCACATCGTAATCTATATTTGATCACAAGTTGAACATTCAACGTTATGTCCTGTTGCGAGGGAGTCGATAGTATCGAACGTTCTCCTGGCACTGGTTGTTGTGGTAAATATTTAAATTAATTAAAAAAATAAAAACAATCGTTATTTCTGTATAAATATATAAATGAAATCCATTGATTTAATATTAGGAACGAAGTGTACGGTCGAATCAAGTGGATGTTCCACTTTAGAATCTCGTATTCGTTCTTGCCATTGTCAAAATAACGTCGGTTGTTTGGATCGTAATGATTGTGGCGGATTTCGTCCTAGCGGTACTGCAGCTACAGGCGCATGTCCAGGACCGTGTCAATGCTTAGAGGAGGAAATCTGGAATAGTAACGTTCCACCTAAGCCGAATTGCGAGTGGTTAAGCAACTTCTCTGAGCTCCGACGGCAGTGGAGCAATCATGCTCGTCAACAGAACTGCAAGTGTTGCAACTGTCGATCATGGTAGGTAATCCTGTGTGAAAACAAAGAGGTAATTTATTTCGCAATTAATTTTTGAAGCAAATGGAGAAAATTGTTTCGTCGACACGTTAATTATATATATGATAGATAAAGGATGTTGAACGGTAAGGATCGAATTAAAGATTGTCTGCTATTTTTTTCATTATTTTTTATTCGTAATTTCATTATATACTTCGTTCGATTCGATTCGCAGTAGAACTGTCGCCCCCTGTCGACCGTGCTTACCGACAACGCTTTGCACTTCCGGCTTCGCCGTACCTTCATCGGACTGTCAGGTATACCGAGGTAGAAGCACGTCGAATGGACCAGATTCCTTTCACTAAAGCGAGTCAAGGCAAACTTACTTCGCAGCAACGATGAAAATAGGGTGAAAATGAGAAAGTATCAAGTACAAAATGTGTGGTAATTCAGGAAATGAGGTAAAACAGGATTATTCTCATTAGGGAAAATTATCCATCGTTGCTTCGAAGTTCGAGCGAGTTGCTCGTACATATCCTATGTAGATAGAGTTAAATAAGTAGGAAATCATGAAACGTCTCTTTCTCACTATCGTTAGGATTATTGCGAGGATCATCGTTTAGCCGGTGGTGCAAACGATAAAAGAGATTTAAGTCCAGTGGAATCAACATCCTCGAGGGAGTCTCGTAATGTTCGAAGAGAAGCCGGGGGTGGTTGTCCGCCACCAGGATGCGGTCGATCCTGCCAAACGGCACGCTGTCGATCACCTAGTACGGATCGTTCCTCTTCGTGCTCTTGGTGTCCTACGTCCGTACAGCGCCCTTCTTCTCCATGTAAACCATCGACTCTTTGTCAACCCTGTGCTCCTTCACCAAAGTCCATCTTAAAAAAGCGAAGCTGTTGTCAGTGCGCAACCGGTTATTGCATGTGTCAACCGATGCCACGGAACTGTAATTGTCCTCCTCCGATCCAAATTGATGCTCGAGCAGAACGAGATTGCACTTGCGACTGTCCTTCCTCTCCGGAATGTGCATGTCCACCGAGCGAACGAAGATTTCCTAGAACAATAGTGAAATGTCCCAACGCCAGATTATGTTGTCCATTGCCGCGATTACCGCCCGGTCCAAAGTGTCACTGCGATCGCTGTCAGCCCTGTTTACCGGCACCTTGTGATCCCTGTACTTCCAGCATCTGTCGGAATGTCATTCCAAAAGCGAATCCCTGTTGTCCAAGTTCACCGTGTCCACCGCGTTCCCCTTGCCGTCCTAAATCTCCTGATCTTCAACCTTGTCGCTTGCCGTCACCTTGTCGTAAATCAACGCAACGATATTGTCTCGGAAGGAATTCTTGTCGTGATGATACTTACAATGCATGTCCACGTGCTGCGAATGATAGACGATCGTCGGGAACCTGCGGAGGAACAGGTCAGTCTTCGACGATTCGTCGTAGACGGGCAGGCGGTGATAGGCGTGAAGAAATATTTGCAACGAAATTCAAGGACGAGTCAATAAGCACGAACGATCACGAGGGTGAACCGCGAAATCCTTTCTTATCGGGATACTGTGAGAAAGCCGACGATAGAGAATGCGAACGCGAGGGTGGGGGTTGTTCGTATGAACTGGATTTGCTTGATTGTCGTCGACATATCGACAGGTCTGACGAAATTCGATCGGACAATGCTTTCAATCATACTTCCAGCTTGAATACAGTTAGTTGCTCTGCTTATCAACGTCGCGACGAATCCGTTCAAGCGAGATTCGATATTGATTACGATTATTCTCGTGAATTAGCTTCAATCGATGATTCATCTTGTCATCGTCGCCATTATCATGATCCAAATAGTACGTGCAATTCTTCTTGCACAAAATCTTTTCAGGATTGTTTACAATGTTGTTGCGGTCGGGATGAAATTGGATGCGATCTTTACTGCGATTATTGTTGTTCTTTTAAGGATGAACCAAGATGTTGTTGCGCACCAGATGGGAATGGCTGCGATAAAACGTGCAATTATTGTTGTGCGTTTAATGATTCCAACATGATTATTGTCGATAACATTTCGGCCATGAAAGACGAGCGAAAGGATGTTTCAAACGTTATCTCGAACGGTGATGATTAATGATGATAATCGATGAATAGAAGAAAATAACAAGGGTGCAATATAGAAACAGCCTAATGTCGCTTCGTGAATGTTGTTATTGTTGCACGTATACGCGTAAATATGTTTTTATCCATTTGCGGACAATATTGATTATCCGATATTTTTTTGTACGTGAAGTTTATTTATTTAGATATTTTTGACAAAAATTATTTTATTACACACATAAACGTATATCTCTAACGAGACTGTACATGCATATAAACACTGTCCGTTAATGGATTAAAGAACGTGCAAGGAGTGAACTATGCATCAATTCAAATTTGAAATTAAAGTCTATTACCGAAGAAAGTTGGATTCAATTTTAATTCGATTAGTCTTTCCTATAATCATAATTCCGATGCATTGCATTTAAAAGACGTGCAGACTCGTCCTTGCACGCGCTCAAGTGAGATAGACATTTACTTGTATCCTTGTCTGTGTCTCACCAAAGGGCCAATGTGACACGTGGTGTGGTGGGTCCGGTAGGTGGAGATAACACGATGATGATAACATGGAGCACAAGCGCACAGACCTGTCGGTGCAATTGGAAGAAGAGAGACGTGTCCTGCAAGGACATCTTCTCTTACATCGGAGCCATCGGTCATTCTGCTCTTTCACCCGGCCCTCTTACCCTTCTATCCTTCGTCCTACTAATCTTCCTTGCCGTTACCTGGTCTTCCGGATTAACCCTTTATCACCGTTATTTTTTCCCGAAAAAATTATGTATAAAATATTTCGGTCGATGATTAAACAATACTTCGAAACACAATTAAACGTTGTCCTTTTTATAATGATTTTTGTATACTTAATTTCTTTTTTTCTAATGATATCTTTTCTGTAGAAGACAAAAATGATTAATCTTTTCTTTCGCGTCTTTTTCATGAATTTAATTTTACAAGCAATAATATTATCGTCATCATAAAAAATGTACAATTTTGACAGATATAAAAGGATTTCCCAAACGAATCGAGCGAAACAATCCGCTTTCTTTGGTCAAAATATCTAACATGTTGCTTTCTTATTCCATATTAGCACGTAGTCAATTCCATTTCGATCGAGAGCATTTATTTCTTATATGATATATAATATAAGATATTATTTATCATATACATTAAGATATATTGCCATATAAACACGATTTCCATTTCATGGAAAAGAGTGTCGTGAAAACGTGAAACGATGTTATGGAATACGGATAATCGTAGGAATGTGAATGTTACAAAGAAAAACTTGGGTCGAAAAACATCTCGAAAAACAACTTGAAAAACAACTCGAAAAACAACTTTCAGGAAAATATATAGCCATAATTGAAAAAATAATATATACAACTTTCGAATATTAGTTTTCGTAAGCCATTTTTTTGCTTTTATTGAACTTTCTAAATCCTATAGTAATTGTAAGACCTTAATTTTTCAGTAATATTTCTTAATATATTTGTTGATATTGCTTTCGCTTGTACAACAATAGACGGAGACTAAAATAACAGTTTGTTACTTAGAAATTATTCCTTTATTAAAGTTTATATTTCATATATACATTGTATAAATATCAATACAATAAATCATTTGTGTTGAGATTTCTCTTTAAATAACAGCTGCTGGGTCATGCCAGGTATATCCCAATATACCTTTATAAAATGTCTTGTAAATCATAAATGTCTGGCAATATTCTGAACTTCGATGACTAAGAGTTAAATTACCTATCGCTCAGGTACTTTTCTATTGTTTCGTTGCAACAATTTGATCGATGCACAGGGTATACTGTAATTAGAAGACAAAGTGCCAGTTTTGGAATAATGGATTAATTGTAAACGTCACAAGAACGATTCTAGTATATCTTCAAGCTAACATTATTCCTGACATAGAAATTTCGATTATGGACAATGACGAGGAATATTGGAATAATAATTCAAATTCCAATATTGTAGTTTCTATTAAAATAAGAATAATCGTACATTATTAATTTTTATTTTAATGTATAATTAAAATTCTATAAAAGAAAATAATGTCAGATGTTAAAAATATTTAAAGATTCGTATCATTTGACACAATTATTTTGTCATTTAATTACGTCAACTGCGAGAGGATCTTCGCGCCTCCCTCTACTTTTATCTTAACGAGGTGACGCGCTATCATGATCATGCATCAGTCGTCGAAATGACGCGCAACGGAGCGTTTCCATTGTCATCTTTGTCTTCCTTCTTTTGCTTCTTGTTACTCCTTGCGACGTTACCTTCGGATCAAGAAGTTCGCGCTTCGGTTACTTTCGACTTAAGTCCTTTACTATTTGGAGCGTTGGTGAAAGATTCAAAGTCGCACGAATTGAAAGATACAAAATTACCGGGTTGCATAGAGTGCGGGGAGTACAGGTATCTATGTAATATATGTATGCATACGTAGGTATATTTTTGAAAATATTAAACTATACATTTGATGATTAAAATCATATAAAACTATCCGCATATTGTTACTTTGCAGCAGTATTAGCGTTAATTAAATTATTATTAGAATTAAAATAAGGAGTTAAATTTCACAAATATCGACTATGTACTTATTTATCTTTGATATTAAATATTTGTGATCCTGTTCTTCTGCATGATTATTTTTTTCTTTTTCTTTTTTTTTTTTTTTTGATAATGATGAAGTATACAAGGATATCGTTAAAAAATAAGTAATTCGAATTAGTCTGACAGTGTCATAGGAAAAAAAGGATTTTTTCTATAGCGAATTTGTATGCACATATAGATGCCCGGAAAATTCGTCAAAGTGTCTCTTGGGCTCCGTATCGGATCCTTGCGGATGCTGCAAAGCTGGTATATGCGCTCGTCTTGGCGGAGAGCCCTGTTGGAATTCGAGTATCCCGGAACTTAACGCTAACAGCCGTAAAGATGGCCTCTGTGCGAGGAATTATTTTTGCCAATTACGTTCCGATCTTCAAGAAGAGGTATAGCTTTCATTTGCATCGCCTGTTTCTCATAATTCCTTTGATAATTTGTACAATAATTATACGATGCGATTATAATTTTGTAATTTTCTTGAAATCTAAAGCCGGAAAACTATCACGATATTGCACAATAAACCTGCGATATTAATGCAAGTTGTCTACCTACGTTAACGTTAATTCAACGAACTTATCTGATCCATTCTCGCCAGTGAAAGTAATCTCGTCTTGTTGCGTTTCGTGGGCGTCGAATGTAGTATCACGTGCAATCAAATAATCAAGCAGATCGGATATAATTCGATATAATATAAGAGATCTCGCGCAATCAAATAATTAAGTAGATTGGATACAATGAGAGAGAAAAGCTTTTGTTAGTTTCTTATCGTATGGTCTTTGATTTTTCATCGATTCCCTTCGAACGTTGTATTACATACGATATTTTCTTTTGATTTAGGACGAAGCTGAAGCGATCTGTATCTGCATGGAGCAGACACCAGCGTGCGGTAGCGACGAAGTGACTTATGAAACACCATGCGCTCTTCATGAGGAAGCGATGAAGCTCAAGAATCATTTGTCTTTGAAATTACAGCATCTTGGTCCTTGCCAAACTCGACCATGGATCGTTTCCTACTCGGAACATGTCGTCTCGAGTGTTGGCCAACGTGTTCTCCTTGCTTGCGAGACTAAAGGTTTTCCAGTACCTGATATTTTCTGGGAGTTTCATTCTCCTGATGGAAAGAAGGTTCTCAAACTAACAGGTAAGCAATAATCATGATTTTTATTTGTTCGAAAGATACGTGTACTTTACAAGATAAAGAAGAAAAGAAGTTAATATCAGAAGTAGATATTTTTTTTTTCTTATTTTTATGACTTGGGTTTAAAGGTGAAGACCACGTCATCACTGTACAAAGTGATCAAGATTCGAAATCTTTGACGAGAACGTCTTGGCTCCAACTGCCACGGTTGACTAAAGAACACGTTGGAACGTATCATTGCATTGCCAATAATTCGATAGGACAGGCAGGTGCAGCTTCTTTCGTATCGATGGTTTAAAGTCCTGATTACGTTCCATAGAAAAAGTGAGTTCGATTGTGGTGGAAAGTGGAAAGCGGATTAGAATGGAATTAAGGGAAAAGGAGAAACATTAATCACGTTCGTCTGGAAGAAATCATTATCGTATTAAATATTTCTTTTTCGATCGTGCAAATGGTCGAATCAATGTTTTCAAAAAAAATGAAATAATCATTCATAGGTATCGCTTTACACATTTACACCATAACAGCGTCTCGTTTTTATTACCCGACTATTATTTATTTGTCGGGTTCAGGAATATATAAATAAATATTATCTAATGTCAGCAGCATTTTTAAAATCGAAGCAATCGTATCCTTATTTTTAAAAAATTGAATTTCCTTCTGCGCTCGTCACCATCCTTCTTGCGTCGTTCTGAAAGATTTTAAATCACGATTAATGTTGCCTATAAAATTTCGATTGTAATTAGATACTTACTCTGGACTTTGCCATGTCTCGCGATCTATCACCACAGTTTCTGGACTTTCTCTGGATAAAAAGTAAGTTGCAATGTATAAAAATAATGTGTAACCTTTAAAATGTTTTGTCTTGGATTAGCGGATTTTTTTAAAGCATGTTTTACAAACAAATTTAATTACAGTACATAGTAACGAAATGAGATGTTAATCTTCGATTGTTATTAATATTTTCAAATCGATGAGTAACACCACGGATGATTTCTTTGTCGGATGCGTTAAAATTATTCAATAGTAGATGCTATCAAAGCATACTCGACAAGCTTGAACTACTTGAATTTGTTTAATTTGTTCAGTGGTTTTGAGTGCTCGAGATCGATCAAAAGCCGTAGTCCAATACTATGTACTTGCTCGCTCGTATAATGTATGCTAGGTTTGGAGGGATCGAATGAAGCAAGGGAAGTAGGGGATAAAACAATCGATGTTTTCATGAAACGACAAAAAGCAGATGAGTTGGCTGTGCATAAAAACAACTTCTGGATGACAGTATATATAACGAAGTAAAACTAACGATCTCATCGATAATAAAGACGTATCCTTCTTCGAAAATGATGGTCTTCGATATACCAAAGATAAAATATGAGCAATTGGTGTACTGACAATCATAATAAGCGCACTTATCAACGTAGCAAACCAGAATCCGTCCTGAAAAAAAAAACAAAAAAAAAAAAAGAAAACAAAAAGAAAGAAAGAATAAAGAACAGTAAAGGACCTTCGTACGAAGAAGATATAAAATATTTCGTATTTTCCATATTTATTATCGTGACGTACTAGAGGGCCTAAAATGTGATTGCACAAAAGAAGCCTCATTCCTTTTAATATTTCCCATAATGGCTGACACTTTGAAACTCCACTATTCATTTCCAATATTACGTGAGTTCTCCATTGATCTAAATAATTATTTAATCGATTTGTAAATGCTTTTCCTTTCTGAAAACAAACAGAAAATATTGTTTCGATTAAGAAAATAGAAAATAAGTAAAGATTACTTATTTACCAATTGGGCAATTTTATCTCCCTGATTATCAATATAATATTGAATTGTTTTTAAATGCGAAATGGATTGATTGACTTGTCGTAGAAGTGGTAGCAGTTGTAATTCCAATATGGCTATTTGATAAACCAGATTATCTTGTAGCTTCATCAGTGGCTTCACTCTTCGCGACGTAAGGTCTCTCATGTTAGAGCCGATAATTTGCAAATCTCGGGCGATGCTTCTATCGCTAAGTTGACGGGCTATACTATCCAGTTGATCGGACAAAGCATTTAGATCCTTGCTTAAAATTGGCCCTTGTATCTGTTACAACGTAAACGTATATTATTTCAGTAGATTTGTTTAATCGATTGTTCAATTTCGTACGTAAGTTTTAGCTTTATTCGTTGTTTTTCAAGAGAAAACAACGATTAAGAAATTAACAAATTTAGCGTACCATAATTCTATGTTCCGTAAGATTTGGTCCACAAGCATATAGAAGATTCTGAAGTCGTTGTTGCAAGCCAGGTGTTAATATCTTGAGACCCTTTAAGTCGACTTTTAATTTTGACTTTGCCCTAGATAAACCAGTCCACATCCAGTGTTCTGTAAGTTGCTCTAATTGCATCGTACGATCAAGTCGAAACGCAGGATACGCTGCTTCGTTCTTTTCACACTTTCTGTAGAACAATGGAATATTTAATATTTATTTGTATATAAGAGTTTTTCTCTTTAGAAGGTAGATCGTATTTCGTTTCATTAATATCATGTAACTCACTCGAACATATCCTTTAAAGACACGCTCAATCTTCTTCCGAGGAAGGTTCGGGTTTCCAAAACGGCCTCTAACGTACGATATTCAGGATCGTAAAGTGGTCGGCAGAGTAACATCTCCATGTGACCAGATAACGCTAATCCTGCTACGAATATCGCCCATAAAGCGATCGAAATGAAGGAGCTCGTAAACACAGTACTGAAATCCGATAGAAAGTACTCTTAGCAATCTATTTTCCAATAGTTAAGATAAAGCAAAGTATTGTTAAGGGGATTTAATATTGTTATAAAATTTTTTTGTTATAATCTTTTTTTTTTTTTTTCGTTAATATATCGTTAATCGGTTTATTTAGATCTAATTGTTTTATTAATGAGACAATCATTTTTGTTTATGTCTCTTGGAAAATTTTCCATTTTATAGATGGGATTAGAATTTTTAGTTCGAAGAATTTTTTTTTTTATTGAACTTAGGAATTTAACAGAAGTAATAACTTCGAGTTGATGTTTCCGAAAAATTTTATTTCTATACTTACCACAAGAGGGTCGGTCGCACTTTACCCTCGGACGATCCACAATGGCAACGAAGAGCTCCGAGTAATAATAGCCAGACGGGTAAAATGCAGAGAAAAGTACCTGTCCGACAAAATCGAAGGACGGTTATTATTTTCTGTGTTCGATATCGGACATTCGCCTCCTACGCAATGTTTTATCGCGAAAACGTTTGACGTTGCATCCGGAGGAATGATTTGTTTTTTTACATGAAATTCACGTTCATTTCCATGGAGAAAAGACGTGTGCTTTTCATAAAATAGGACGTGCGAATTCTCTTTGAGAAAATAAATTTGTTCTAGAGACTTATAATTAAACATTCTCTACTTAAGAGAACAAAGAAAATGAATTTTTTTTTTTTTTAAGGCTAAACAATGATGTCCTTTCGTCTCTTGGATAAATAAGTAATATAGGCTCTGTTTTACCGTTATTATTGTTATTGTTATTGTAACTCGTATTCTTTTCTCTTGGCGTTTTTGATAGTTTGGAAGTAGTAGATGGAGAAGTTGAACGAGTGAAAGATCGAGAAAATAGAAAAGTAGACCATGGTACAGAATGAAATTGAATCCTGCCGGAGTCAGAAGTACGTCGGTAACTTTAACAGTTGCCAAGGTTCACGTGGGCGCTCTTAAGTGTGGGATAAATCAGTGTATAGTGGCGTATATTCTGAAGGGTGCTTCGAGGGTGACAAAACTTATTTCTGAGGAATGAAGGATTTAGCTTGTTCGATTCAACGGAGAAACTTTGAAATTGGTTTATTCGTCATAATGTTGCTTCGATTTGTCGTCTTAGACGTACGATTCTTAAGGACTTTCATAAAAATATCTACGACGTTGGTAATGGTAAAAGAAAAATGAGCCGTGATAAGCGGTTATTGTGAAATTTAAATGTTATTTTGAAGGAATAAAGGTAGAACTTTTTCTTTCTTTTTATTGCTAAAACGGCTCCAACTTTGTACCTTGTGGTAGGTATAACCACATGATATACTTTGCGCGGAAAAATGGTAAATCTCTTTTGTAAGGGAAACGCAAGGAGGAAAGTAGGTAGTATTTTATGCGACTAAGTCGTGATATCGTTACAAGGATAAAAATTTGCAGGGAAATGTAACAGAATATGTACTGTTACGTACCGAGACCAACGAGCCACCTAATCTGTTCGAATGCGATGACGTAGGGTATCGCATAATCCGCGATACTCCTTGCAGATTTGAGCTGTTTCGAAAGTTCCGTGCTACTAGCTTCCATATTCCGTGTTTTTTGGAAAATCCTGGCACGTGCACCGCTGATCTCACGGCGAATCTCTGCCGACAAAATATCATAGAAATTTTCCCTTTTACTCCTGAATTACGATAACTTTCTTTCTCCCGTTACTTATTAATTTCCTTTTATTCTCTTTAATTCCACGTTGGAAATTAAAATAAGCAAATATCATTAATTTTTCAACAGCGCCAATATTGAATTTTTCAATGTGTCAGCGATTACGTTTCCTCAATTAAAAATACTCACAAACTTTACGATCATAGCTCATTATTTCTGGGATCCATTCATCGTGCTTGAAAAGGGACGAAAAGGAATCGAGAATGGTGAAATGCCATTGTATTAAGGGAAGAGCAATAAAAATAACGTGACTGGTCATGCGTTCTTTACTTCAACCGTATTTCACAGTCTCAATAAGGAGAAGCGGCCTTTAGTCGGTAATTTTCTCGAAGCTTCGTAGATTTATTAAGACGATCAAGCACAGAAGGTGAATAATAAACGACGAATTACGTCGTTCCGCGAGTGTCATTGTTCTCTTCGAACGAAGCTCGAGATCCTCGAGCTTGGCGTACTTTCTATACCGAGAAAGTAATGGACGCTCGATCTCGAATATCTCGAAAGCCTTTTCTTCTTCTTTATTTTTTTTCTTGTTTTTGTTACCCATCATCTTTATCTTTAGGGTTAATAGAACACGATATGGATTTCGCATTAGACGGTGGGGTGTCACCGTCACCTCTCTATTGCTCATGGTTTAAGTAGAAGAGAAAGAATGAGAGAGATAGAAAGTGAGTGAGAAAGAAAGGCAGAAAGAAAAGGTCGTTGAATCCAGATTGGATGATACCACGGAAAGAACCGAAAGAAGAGTCAGTCGATGTACAGGTCCACGACACAGTGAGACACCAACAACCGTCAACATTGTCCTTCCACGGCATCAATCACCGATCCCCATCGGCGAAGTTTGAACGGATGCCACCATGGGGGAGTTCAACCGTATACGATCTTCGCGAGAAACGAGACGCTGTTTGCTCCGGGCATTTACCACGTTTCGTTTGTCTATTGAGGGTGGATATCTCCTTCTCTTCGTCTCTGTCTCTTTCTCTCTCTCTCTCTCTCTTTTTTTCTTTTCTTTTTTAGTACGTCTTCTTCTTTTTCTTTTTCTTCTTCATGGTTTTATTCCCATTATTGTACGGGGAGAAACGCTGACGCTTCCTCTTGAAAACGGAATAGCGAAAGCGTTCTTTTTTATTTTGGTTTTTATTATTTTCTTTTTCTTTTTTTTTTTTTTTTTCGAGGAAAATACTTGATACCATTTGTAGGAATCTTAAGAAGTAATCTTTTACCGAAGATAACTTCATTTATACGTATTCGATGATCCGATCGAGTTCCTTCGTTTTTTATTTTCTTTTTTTTCAACAAAAAATCCAATCGGAAAACGATGATACGATTTATTTTTATTTTCAGATTATTCGACATTTTAAGGAGAACTCGTAATGATATTACTTATTAGCTGAGAAAAAGTTCGAGCGTAATATCCACATTAAAAAATACCTATCAAAATTTACTTTTTAGGGTGAAAAAAAATTCTTGATTTCTTCTTTATACGAGATTTTTCCCTATTTACTTTTTAGTAAGACTGTGAAATATGTTGTGAAATATGTGAAATGTTGCGCCAAAGAACGAAGAATAAGGGAGCTGAAGTCAAGATTTACCGATATTCGTTACGCTTTAATCGCAGCAAATGTTCTTTACGATACTTTCACGTAGCCATGTCATTTGTTTTATTTTTTATTTTTTCCTTTTCTTTTTTATACCATAGTCGTTGTTTCAATAAGTCAACTAACCGTTTCAGGTATTTGAAAGGGAGTGGAATAGTAAATGGAAATGTAGTTTTTGTTAGGAATAGGAGATTGATGGAAATTCGACAAAGTTTTTGTCCTTCTAATAATTTAAATGATTTCGATTATTTTGTGTAATATCGTATTGTCGAAAAATTAATGATAAGTATTACAATTCTAAGAGATATAATACAAAAGTTGGTGGTCAAGTTTTTATCCGTTTTCTTCCTTTATCGTCAGTAAGTATATAATAAAAATAGAATAATACGTTCTGAAGGAAGGAAGAACATGGGAAAGCTGAAACGGCTCGTAAAATTCTATAAGCGTTTGAAATATCGTATCTTTCCTTTCGATTTGCCGTTCTACAGTAAAATTTCATGTAATTGCTCGGTGATCCATTTTTATAATCTTTTTTGATGACCGTTCACTTAAAGCGTTTTATTTTTCCATTGATTCGTGGAAATCGTATCAATATTTTTATTCCAAAGTATATTAGAAAATAATTTTAGTTTCGAGCAGACGTAATAGGAATACATAATGTCAACGTAACACGTTTTGAGATTTATAATGTAAATAATATATATCGTAAATTTTCAAAAATTTATCTATTACATGACTAATGATATTTTAAATAATACATGAATGTATTCGACCATATTTAATTATTCTCTTTAATTATTTTACTATTCGAAACAGTTAATTTATATAAAATATTTCGATTTCATGGCAGTTACTCGCGTTAACTTTTCGCTTTATCTTTGGCTAAATGATAAACGTGTTCCATTGTATTCTGTATTGCTATATCGTGGTGAAAGGGAAACAACGAGTATTATATTGAGAAGTTAATGGATCCCTTCACTTACGTTGAATTCTTGTCAACCAATGACTTTATCATTCTACCTACGATTTCTCGCATCCAAGGTACTTCTGGCGATGTAATGAGGCACGTAGAGGTACTCTCCGCGTGCTTGACGTCCAACCTCCGTGAGATTCTCTCTGCTGCTACCACGTAAACGTAGAATACGATCATCCCTTAGAAGCTGAAAAATTCACAAGATTAATGAGAAATGTATAAAAAAATAAAAAATTATGTATAAAAATTATATATTTTTTTGTCTACAATATTTAATACGAAAGATCATGAGAAAATCCTGTCATTAATATTTTTCCTATCGAAACCAATACGCATTATTCCCTTTCGACTGCATTTTCGAATTACTACTTAAAAATACTCGATACACTTACGGCATTTTGACAAAGACACAATCCTCTTTTCTTCTTTTCCAGCTTAAAGAATGAGACCGTCAAAATCCCTTCTTTTCTGTCTCTTTTTCTCTCGATAAGCTTCTACATTCCATTTCGGGAATAAAATAGGACAAATTAAGAGGAGAGTAATAAGATAATAATTTTTAACGAAAAGCAGAATCACAGTATGACGCGTGTAGAATATTTTTCACCGCAATGTATGATGTTACATTTTCCTTTATATGGAATATCTCTGATAGAGGATCTCTCGTTTCGAGGATAAGCATCGTGGGCTCGATTTTAGGCCATTATCATTTTGTTTTGGGTTCGAATAAAATAAGGTGAATGCGTTCGGTCGACGAAAAAAAAAAAAAGGAAATGAGGAGGATCGTAATGAGCGTGCTTATTTTCGTGCATAGTGGAATAGTAATATTCGTAAAAAAAAAGGGCAGGAAAGGAGCTGTTGGAGCTGTTGAAAAGTTTTGGCTGTTCTAGTCTCGCCTGTCCCACGTAGTTAAGCGTTTATCCTATTGTCTTTACCTAGTCCGCGTTACCAACTGCGGATAAAGCCTTTATCCATTTCGGACGTTGCCTTTCAGCCTTCCTGATTCTCAATTCGATTTTCTCAGGAACGTAACTCTCTCTTTTCTCGTTTATATATATATATATATATATATATATATATATATATATATATATATATATATATGGAGAAAGAAAAAGAGAGAGAGAGCGAGAATAAAAAAAGTGGAAAAAAGACTATAATTATAACGAGTACAAAATAATTGTCAAATAAGCGAGTTCGTTAATAAATTCACAAGACAACATTATTTATGTTCTTTGTTACTAATTTCTTGTAGGAAAACTTATCTTTCGAAATTAACAAACTTGTTGAACGTATATCTCGTAGTTCGCTTTTACTTCGTTCGGAAGGAATATACTTTATTCAATTATAACTTTATAATTTATTAAATTAACCCTTAACAAGGACGAGAATTTTTGTTATAATACTTATTTGCAAGACAATAGAATATTCATTAAGTTTAGAGAAAACATATAATTTAATATATTTTTATTAAATTAACGAACGAATAAAAGAACTCTTTACACGTTCCCAAAGTGTAGCCTTTCGATTTTGAACTATTAATATGTATGCAATTAGATACCTGTACCAGTCAAATCGATTTTGTTTTTTGTAACAATACGAAAGTTTTTTTCATTATCGAGTTTTCACATGCGACGAGAATAAGGGAACTAAAGCTAGTGCTAAAATTTCAATCTCTACGTTTATATCGGTAAAAAAAGGAAGGATAAAGGTGAAACGAGAAGGTGGCTGCTCTTGATAAAGTTTATTTACTTGTTCCATGCGCAGCGTGAGACGTAAGCCAGAAGGGTCGATGACGGAGCAGAGAGGACGATCCTGAACCGAGCACGCTTTAACGGCACTTTCTAAATCGCGTCGTATCACGTCGGTCTCTCGATTCAATTGCGTTCCGAGGTCGCGTGCTCTTTCTCCTTCCTTCAGTAATGATTCTGCTCTGTTCGATAGTTCTTGACTAGCTGAAACATCGAATCCAATCTCTATTAGATGGACCACTGACGTAAACATAGCTTCGTTCTTTCTCTTTTCCGATGGTGGAGTATAATGTCTTTGGCAACATGTTCGATAAAAAGAGAGAGGTAAGTCGAATTCATCGAATTAATCGAACTACTAGAAGACCATTGATTTCATGGATAATCGAATAATTCGTTTTACTTTAACGCGCAATTTGGCTTATTTCTTTTGAAAACTTTTTCCTCTTTTCTATTCGAATTTTCTTATTGTAATAATACTTAGAGCTGTATCAAGAATGGATACGTCAATAGGATCATCAAGGGCCTTTGAAAGAATTAAATTATTATGAAAATTAATCTAATGAAAAAAGAAATTTTCCGTAGTTATTATCGATCCGAGTTATATCTATGCAAGGAAATGTTTGTAAAGTCTACGATGTTATCATTATCGAAAATATTATTATCATAATTAAAAAGTGCAGTGGTAAGACGCTGAGAGTCTAATTATCATCTCTTACCCTTGATCTTAAATTCTTGAGATAAAATTTCATGAAAATTTGCATCCTAGCAAATTGCGATATTGCGTTGCAATTTTTTTGATGGCTTAGGTAAGTAAGTAAAATCGAACGAGTTTGGACTCTATAATTCGAAGTATAAAAACTCATATATACATAAATAGATATGTACGTATGTGCATACATACGCATGTAGGCACGTGCTCAAGTACGCAAGACTTTAAATGTAGCGGTCTAAAGGAAAGCGTAGTTCTGGTAGCACGTTATAATTTAGTTAGTATACAGTTAGTAACTCGGTGCAGTGACTAAGTGACACTCTAGGTCGAGGAGGTCACTTAACGGTCTGGAGTTCTCTTCAAGACCTGCTGTACACGCTCGTAGCGCCTTAACCAACCGCGTTGTGGCAAAACGTGTGTCTCTTACACGACCTGTCGTTTACATTTTCTCCTTGAAACGCGTTCATGAAACGTACATACATACAGATATCCGACTTTGGTTAAACGCTGCTTGGAAAGACTGCAGAATTTATGTATTTATTTCGAGTAATTAAAACATCGTAGCAAAATTAATATGTTCAGAAATCACAGAGACATTTTATAGAACTATGAAACTTCGACAATAAAATATTTTTAAGTAATTTAAATATAATAACAATTAATTTATATTAAATTTATTATTAAAGTTAAATTACAAAAACATAAACGGTACGTCGTAATTTAATTTCGTTCGATTAATTACGTTAGTTATGAAACTTTATCATAGAGTAAAAAATTTTCATTTTATTTTCGCGAATACAGACTACTGAAAACAAGAAAGGTTCTTTAATTTTGATAGTCATACAACAAAGTAGTGAAGTGAACATATATGTTATACTAATTTCTCATATATATTATACTAATGACTTATAATTGTTATGATTTAATTATACATGAAAATTAAGGTGCATCGTGTCCAACTAACAATAAGTCTACTTCGCGTACGATAGAAGTTTCTTGCATTGGTATGCACATGGTCAGCTACGCTGAAATTAAAGCTGCCGCTTGGGTTTCAAACTAGTATAGTAATGACGTTTAAAGGGTTTCCTGTTCGGAGTTATAGAGATAAATCATTCATTAGGAATTAGCATCGATACCATTCGTATCAGTGTTCGGGATACGCTATAATTGAAGATATAGCCGTATAACGTATATAGATAGTACAGATGTATGCATAGTTTGAGAGTTGGAGATTAATAATAATCGATTTACAGTTAGAGGCTGTTATTTACATCTCGTTAATACCAAACGAGATCGCAATATCTATTTTACTTTGATCTTCGAGGAACACCGAAAGTAAAAGATTTCGTAAAAGTTCTAATGAATTTTCCTAGATAAAATATACATATATACATATATACATACATATATACATACATACAGGCATATATACATACATACATACATATATACATACATATATATATATATATATATATATATATATATATATATATATACGTATAGGATTATTAATATTCGGCGAATAATTCCGATTCCGAAAGGGTTTTCCTTGATGCGTGAAGCAATAAGCGAATGACATAGTCGTTTCTCCGTATATGAGAGCATTCGTCGTATAAATTAATATATGTGTTTCGTCGGGCGTATATACGTACATGTGTATATCGTAGAACTATGAATATGCAAACACTTTGGTGCCGTTGTGTCTTTCGACTTTGTTGAATGAATATACTAGTATGTATATATATATATATATGTATGTGTACAATGAACACTTTGGCTAATGCCAATTATTCTTCGAGAATAAGTTTCTTTTTGAATGAAAAGACGTTTTAAAAGTCTCTAAAAAATTTTTGAAGATTATAGATACCTGCATAGATTTACGAGAGGGGTATTTATAAATCATGAGAAAATACGAAAGAATTTTGTATTTTATGCGAAAATATGCGATAATACCTTTTTATTATTATTATTATTATTATTATTATTATTATTTTTATAATTCTATTACCATTTGCTAGATCCATGAGAGCATCTAATGCTACATCAAGACCCGTTTCGACAGAGAGTTCTGCTTGCACTGGTTTCCCAAGTAGTTCTTCTACGTCTGTAACAATAAGAACAAGAAGAACTTATAGCGATAATATTCTTTCGTCAGTCCAATTTATCATAGATTTTACTACTGGCAATTTCTTTTATTGACAAGAGACATATTTAAAAAACAATATTCGATTCTCTCGAGAAAAGGACTCGAATAACCGATATAACGTAGCATGGGAACAATCATAAATCTTATATCTCTCATCCCTAGTGGACCTGATAATTTATGTCTTCTCATAACCATTACTGGTTATCTCCATCTGATAGGAATTCTCGGTCGTTGGTCGTCCTTCTAGGTAATGGTTCGATATTTCGAGAGAATCTTTCATTCATTGGTCATTAATTAATACCATATATTTCTATGATTACATTGTTACCAACAAACTTGGGATGAAAAATTGTACGTATAAAAAACATTTCAATTTTCTTTCCTTGACATAAATTTCTTACTTGTTATTTTATTTACGTCGAAATAGCTAATAAGAAAGTTCTAACAAAGGGTATAAAAATTGAAAGAAGGCTGTTCATGAAGAATTTTTATCATTACCGTTGAGGTATAAGACATAGATAAGATAGATATAGACAGTTGTGTACTACATATCTACATAGTAAATGTTGTATACGTATACTTAAGTATGAGAGTCTTGATATGTCTATCTCCGGGAGATGGAAAATCGAAAGTCGATGACAGCATTGCTGCATAGGGCTTTGTGGCAAACGCCGTAGGTAATGTCGGCGGCTGCATTATGCTAACGATCGCAATTTGCGGAGGGTTGTTAACGTACCCGTCGATGGGCCCATTACACGACGATTACAGACTGTCGATAGCTTTCATTAGACGTCTATGCGTTTCTGCTCTCGATGGACGTTCATTAGACGATAGAGTTCGTACCTACAATGCTCCGATAATCCTTCGATGCAAGTAAAGTGGTGTATATCGACTTGGATTTGAGTATCGGATTATGACTTAGCAGTTTGGATTGCATTATCCTTACTGTTAATTTCCTTACACGCGTCTCTATTTACCTTCTATTCCACTATGAATTATTGTTTTTTTCTTTTTTTTTTTTTTTTTAATTACTTATATTTCCGACAAAATTATCAGAGAAAGATCTGATCTTAAGGTGATTCTATTAAAGCTCTATTAAAAGTAGTTTTGGGTTTGCTCTCTCGTTTACTTTGCTCCACGTATAATATTAGCCACTGGAAAACGATCTAGTTAAGTTCGAACGAAATTAAAAATTCAATCTCATCGAAGCTATGGAATGACTTTTGGAAAATAAACTGAAAATTAGCCGAGGATTGTATTTACATTTTATGGTTTATTCCGTAATTGTACGATTAAACGTGCTAGAGTTGAATTTTCATAATGTAACATTTTGTAATAAATATTCCATTAAAAGTTAACGATACTACTTTTATACATAAATATATTTTGCTTTAACATTTAAATAGTATCTTAGTTTAGTATGCGTGTAGTTACGCACGATTTCGAATTACATTTGCATAAAACAAATAAAAAAGTAGAGAGAGCGTTAAGCGAGCGTTAACCATAATTGTCTTGTTCCTAGACACACATGTACATAGATCTTTTTAAAGCCGAATAGTAGTACATTTTTGCCTCGTCTAGAAATTTTAGGATTTTCGGAGGGCGAAATGAAACTCGAAGAATCGGAAACGAGGTAAGATCGTTAGAAGAAAGGAAGCTTTTAAAGAAGTAGAATTAAGAAAGAAAGAAAGGAAAAAAAAGACAAAGAAAGCCGAAAATACTTTCCTTCGAGAATTTCACGTTGTTTCGTGTTTTGAAAAGGGGAAAGGGAGAACAAAATTTCACTTTTTGTACAAACAAGTTAAAAATAAATACTGACAAATAGAAAAAAATAAATAGGTGGGATCTCTTTTGTTTTCCTTTCTTTGTTTCTTACTGGGGTTCTCTTTTTATGTGTTTACAAGATTTATGACCATGAATTTTCATGGTCATAAATCTTGTCTAATTTTAGTTAGACATTTAGTTAGACCTTTAGTTAGACATTTATGAAAGATAAAGAATTTCTAAATAAGATTATATTTTTAGATTTTTTTTCCGCAAATCATGTTTAAAAATAAGTTATTTTCACAGTATGTATTGAAATTTTATGTAAAAGTATTTATTGAAAATTTGAAAAGAAAATTTTGTGTAAAAATAATCTTTATCTTTTAGATAAGCCCTTGATCATTAAAATCGATAAAAATTGTAATTCTAAAAATTCATGGAAAAATTTATAATTTAGAACAAAGTATTCATTTAGACAGTTTTTAAGTTCGTATATCATATTTTTAATGTTTCATTATTTCCATATAATAAATTGAAAAATTATAAATTTCGCGGGCAGCCATTGAACAAATAGCGTTTTGCGCATGCGCGAGATTCGACTTAGCCTCCTTGTTACCGATGATTCCGCCATTTTAAATTATTTCGTGATATCGAGTGCAGTGGAACTTCGTCGTCTCCGTTAATTTACAGGTAATTAATAAATTTTTTCTAAAGTACATCCTTCATTTATGTATCAATCGATTGCCGTAAAGACGATTTTCATGCATGAATGTTCGCAAGTCGTGGCATCGTTTCATTTAAAAGATATCCGTGAAAATAAAATCGGCATTTTAGCGTTTCCTTGGGAATGCTTTCTATTTAGAATTTCTTGCCTATATTATCGCGATGTCGTTACTTTTCTCATCTATTAACGATACTTTAGTTAATAATCTTTCATCAATTAGTCATGTTCGATTGAATTTCGTCTTATATACGGTCTTCATATATATATATATATATATTACACACACATATATATATTCCTCTTACGAATATGTATGCATCGATAATTCCTGCACACATATACATACGCACGCAATCAATTTTACATTTGCTAGAAATGATATTAACCTAACCTCTCTGTACGTAAACGAAAGTTTATTTCTTTTAAGTATATATATCGAGATCCTTAATAAAGAGTGAGAGCGAGAGTGAGAGTGAGAGTGAGTGAGAGAGAAAGAGAGAGAGAGAAAGAGAAAATGAGAATGAGAATGAAAATGAGAATGAAAATGAGAATGAGAATGAGAATGAGAAAAACTTGCTCTTCCTTTATGTAAGAATTACTCATCTTGGCACGACCGACGTTCGTCCCTATTACGCATTACGTAGTTCTTTCATCTAAGCAACTTTAAAGACCTGTTCAGACCTGTTACGACTTTGTTAATTCCGGTTCATATAGTTTTTCATTTATATTAGTTTCTCATTTATATTATATATAGTATTTTATAAGTTAGATTTAATCATTTATGGATTTTTAGTTTATTAATCCTATTTTATATTATATTAATTTTCAATATATATAGCATTTATATGTCTAATATATAGACACATTTACACATTATATGTATAGATATACTTATATATATATACTTATATATATACATATACATATACATTTAATCTTATTCTATATTTGTAATATTTTGAATATTTTGAGGTTATTATTTATCATATTCAATTAGTCTGTGGATTTCTACATATCCGATAGAAGTTACCATGTATTTTCTATTGGTTTTTGTATGCAAGTACATACAAATAAGCTTATTGTTAAAATTAATCAGTATATTGTCTCTTAACCAATGCAGTGGTTAGGGCACGAAGCAAAAAGGAGACTATATGCTGAAGAGGCCCCCCACAAACTGTGGCTTAAAAGGGCAACTATCAACAAGTCATTTTTTAAAGGTGATCGGCATGCTGAACCCTTTGTTAATGGCTTGTGGTCTTATCAAAATTCCATTTGCCCTTTTACCACGTTGACACTTACGCTCGTAGTAGTGTGTAGTAGTAGCAGTTTGATCCTGGATGGAGATGATGGACCATTTCATCTTTTTGCTACGATGTTCCGCACTCGTGTTCATGAGAAATTAGGACCTTTGCGATTAGAGTTAAGTTTTTGCAGTTAGTTAATTATTAGAGTTTTTGCAATTTTTTCTTAAGGTAAAGTCGAGTCATTGAATTTTTTTAGAATAGACTGAATTTTTCATTTTAAAGTATGGTCGAGTCTTCGGATTTTTCTTTTTTAATTAAAGTTGAGTCACTGCATTTTTTCTTGTTAAATTAAAGTGATATAATTAATATTGAAAAATATCTCTTTATATATTAGTGAGTATTAACGAAAGTGTTGAAAATAATATTTCAAGATTTGTCATATTATCATAATATATGACATAAAAATAAATTGATAAAGATTATGAATGCATTATGTAAAATAGATTTGTTTCTCAAGTTTTTCAGATCTTTTAATTAACAAAAAGTCAAATAGTCAAAATAATAGCATGGAGATTTAATTAATTATTGAAGACTTGAATGAAGAATTGGAATTATAAAAATATAAAAAGCAATGGAAGATGAATTGTTTGCAACTATTTTTTTTTTTTTTTATTTATTTGAAATATTAAAGAAATTTATATTCGATCTAGATAGAGTTGATTTCTGTTTCAGAAAGTATCACTTAAATTGACAAGATATAATTCGATTTTTCGTTGGTTGTTCTTTTTCTGTATACATGTGTATGTGCGTGTATATATATTTTATTTTAATGTATGTTTCATTTTCAAAAAGTATTAAAATTATAAATTTCTCATATCCATAGATCGTTTCTTCATTACATAAAATTTGCACATTAATTTTGATTGCTTTTTATTTAATTATAAAATGTTTCTGATGATTTATATTTACAGGTGACTGCTGATTTATTAATATGAAATTCGCACATTATTTCGATTGCTTCTTGTTTAATTATGAAATGGTTTAGATATTTTATATTCACATATTATTATATTATTATATTCTCATTATCAAATAATATTTAATAAAATACCTAATCTTTATATAATGTTTATAGGATATGTGCATAGTAATCAATAATGCATCCTATTTTTAATTTCAAGATATTTCCTCGCTTTAATCGAGTGGGTAGGTTAATATTAAACGAATTCATAAATTTTTGTCTAATCTTAATTAATCAGGAAAAATTTCTGATTCCTTGATATTGTTTTTTTTTTCCAGACTATAATAATTATTACTGGATGTGTAATAATAATGATTCTATATAACTGATTCTTAAGTATTTGGCTAATAAAAAATTTTGTTAATAAAAAAAAAACGTTTCAATGGAGTCATTGTTTTTCAAAGAAAAAAGTCGAGTAGAGTCATTGTTTTTGGAAGAATAAAAAATCAATTAGAGTTATTACTAAAAAGCAAAGAGACTTGTAAAATCACATCATGGAGACTCTAAAATAAGTCAATCAGTATATGTTATTAATATACAGTTCAGGATTTTTAGTAATTAATATATTATTTCTCATTTTTCCTTCTTTCGTGTTTTCCTTGTGTGAGTGCGTAACTTTTTTTTTTTTTTTTTTTTTAAATACAGGTGATAAGTAGGCAGGTAGCATACTTTTACGTGCATACTTGTGAAATTTTAATTTTAAGCAAGTAGGACCCGAACAAGACTTAGAGTATGTCTTCCATTCAAGATTGGAAAATCCTGCTTCTGGATTCATATAATATTGTCACTAATTTTAATCATTTAACTCTAAACTTAATGTTTATTTTATTCATTGAAATACTTTAAGTCCATTCGATTTTCGAAAAGCAATCGGGAAGAAGATTTGAGAAGATTTGTTTATTTTTATATTACTCACTGTCCAAGTCCGCGAGTATGGCCTCATTTGCGACATCGAGACTTCTGGTGAGACATTTTCGTAGTTGTGTCGTTGTATCTTGATGATAGTTATCGAGATCCTGCAATGCCGTTTTCACGACCATGGGAAGTTTCTCGATTCCAGTTCTTGCGGCTTCGTTGGAGACCATCATGGTGACCATGCACGACCTGTGGAAATTGTATCGAAGGTTGTATCGTTCGATGGTGAAACGTTAAGAGCCTATCTACTAGGTCGAGTCTGCTACAGCTAAATTGCTTCTCCTTCCTTCCTTGGTCCTCTCTTCGTTTTTCTCTCTATGTTTCTCTTCTACTAGTACTTACTTCCTTTCGTAAGAGAAAAATTGAATGCCCGGCAAGAAAACTTGGTTAAATCGAAAACTTTCGTACGTGGAGATGTACTCTTATCGTGTTGGAACAGACCCGAAATTGATTCGGGATATATAACCATAGATAGAGATATTGATCGATGTTCCTTGTTTCAGTAGATAGCATAAAATTACACATAAGTATCCTTTTTATAAATCGTAGAATTATAGTTATGTCCTATATATGTAGATAAAGAAGGTAAATACAAAGAGAGAGAGAGAGAGAGAGAGAGAGAGAGAGAAAAGAGAGATAATGTAAAGGATAGAATAGATGCAGATGGATGAAATTTATTTGAATCTATTCCTCTTCATTGATTGCAGATTTGCTGAGAGAATAGAGTAAGAGAGAAGGGATCGAGAGAAATTCGTTTCCATAAAGGACGACGAACTCTCTCTCTCTCTCTTTCTCTCTCTCTCTTCCAGGATATCTTTAAAATGAATATGGTTCCTTCAACGTACCCGAGTACGAAGACAAAAGCTGCAAGAAGAAATGCGAGGACCTCCGGATGCCGGCAGGGTTTGTAATCCTCTCTAATTGGACGACAAGCGAACCAGAGTTCTGTGCCAGGTACTATGCAGGCCATGATGCAGCAGACACCGACTGTTGCTAAGAATATCGCCTCGATGTGCATCGACTGCAATCATCGTTAAAATCATCATCAACGTAGTACGTAACATTAGGAAATAGTCTTTATACATCTTGACGTTGACGATCGACGAAATTGCTTTTCGTTCTTGAAATGACGAGGGTACGCGAATTTCTAAGTCTCCTTTCTCTCTTTCTCTCTCTCTCTCTCTCTCTCTCTCTCTCTCTCTCTCTCTCTCTCTCTCTCTCTCTTTACTTCACTCATGACGTTCTCGTCAATATCTTTGATGAGTCATATTTCATATAGGACAGGAATCTACTTACCTCAGATATTAATTTGGAAGTAGTAATACGGTTCTCTATCGCTTCTATCAATAGACCTGCGAAGAAAGACATGAACTATTTTAAGCTCTATAAATCTATAATGATAATAATAGACATGTTTGAGTCAGTTTGTAATATGAAATATTTTTCTTTTATCGATGAAAGAAAATATATATGCACATATGTATATACAAATATTTAAAAGAGAATTCGTAGACGATAGAGAAGTTGTTTGACTTATGCGAGGATAATATTTTATTTTATATTACTTAGAGAACTTAAATGTTTAGAATATTTATTTATCTATGTTTGTATGTACATACATACATACATACATATATATATATACATACATACATACATACATATATATATATATACATACATACATACATACATAAATATAGTATTACTTTTTACGATCGTGATATGTAAGGGTAATCTATATTCTTGATTGATATAAAAGTATAGACAAAATTTCGCGTAGGATCGATGTTCATAATACTCCCATTCTAAAGCAACGGCTAAAGCAATACGTATGAGCATATATAATTGCAAACGAACCGTAATAGTGGAATACGATTGCATTCGAATTTATTTATCGAGTCATTTGTATGCATGCACTATACGCGTTTTCCGTAATGGAACATTGGGAGAGAATTAAAGCGTCGATCGAGGAAAGCCATGGTAAAATATCTTTTTTTATCTCTTTTTCTCTCTTTTTTTGTCTCTCTTTTTCTGTCTCTCTTTTTCCGTCTCTTAGATAAGATCCAGGTTTGAAATTGAAATATCTCGAGATGCGATTTTTGATAGAAAGTAGACAGCACAGAATATAAAATTCCTACGTTAAAGTTTTTCATTATCATTCCGATATTATGCAGTATATATATATATATATATATATATATATATATATATATATATATATATATATATACACACACGCATTTTTCTTAAGTTAATGACAATTGAAAAATTTATTTTCCTTTTTACGAAAGTGTTCAATTCTTTCATTTTGTATTTTTATGTTAATAGAAAATATTTTCGTTTTGTAGCTTATTTATCTAATTACATACGCATGCATATCGATTATTTTTAAAGTTAATATAAAATAAAAAATATTTTCGAATGATGTTCACATGTGTCATACTTTACCGATTGGTACGTCGTAAGGATGAATGAGATAGAGAACGCTTCGTAGAAAATCAAAAACGAATGGTGCTTGGTCAAGATTTAGAGTGGCCATTTTGAAGCGTTCTTCGGAGATCGTTTTAGGGAAATTTAGTTTCGGTGCCTGATCTTCCCAATCCTTTGCAATTGACGGAGTCCAAAAGTGAGATACGTTTGTACCATTTTTCGTACCATCTTCGACCAATATGTCCATCATAGCATCGAGTTGCTCCCGTTGAGTTTCGCTTGATACATTTAGAATAACGATGTTATCGGTGGTACAATTGTCGTCGGGATTGTTGACTTTTACAGTCAAATCATCCTGTGCGTGAACGTTCGAGATAGCAACGATAACGAGAAGGATTCCTGTAGAATTTGATTATTACGTGTATCTCGTTTGTATTTTTATAATTTTGTTAATTAATAACGACTCGATGAAATAATAATCGAAAGATTGATCGTTTTTATTAGAATTTTAGCGAATGCTTTTATTAAATTTTAAAATGCGAGTTTTAAAGCAAATATTTGTGTATAACAATTTTTCATATTTTTTTCCGTTTTTCCCTTTATCGTTATTGTCGAGAAAAATTTAGGAAAAAAGAAAACTTTGTAGCCTTAAAAAGAGATCGAACTAATCGTCAAAAACAAACGCCGACATGAGATCACCGTCTATAGATATAAAATAGTTCACTGGATCGTCGACCTTTTTCTTATTCTGTTGAAGAGCGATGAAAGTTTCTCTTCTTATCGTTCGTTTCTCTTTCGCGTTGATTTTTGTTTTCATCGGGAGTTTGTCGTTCGAAGTCTCCTTGGCGTATCTTTCGCGAAAATTGGATTTGTCCGCAGTGCGGGGAAATAAAGAAACTTTAAAGAAACGTACAAAATGGAAAAAGGTCTGTCGAACACGAGAGAGAAAAGATAAAAAAAACTGATTAATAAGATGAATTTTTGTCGTACGATGAGTTTACGACGTATCGTATGGAAAAATATCTTCAATAATTGCAAAATGAATAAACGAAAAAATGATAATTAGAATTAAATACGTTGAAAGGAATAGAAAAAATAAAATAGAAAGAGAGGGACAATAAATGAGAAAGTAATGTACGTGCCATGGATCACGGCCATTTTCCGGTTGGACGTTTTCCTCCTCGCTGACGTTTCTGCTCAAATGTCCTGATCGTGACTGACAAGAGAGACATAAAAAGGAATACGGAAAAAGAGAGACAACACGGTTACCGTCGAACAGTCACGAGCTGACTGTCGTTTTACAGAATTCGCAGAGGCTTCTACGAAGCCTCTCAAACTCTTTCGATGTTGTCGAACCCTTAGCTTGGATCGAGAGGAAGAGAGAGAGAGAAAGAGAGAAAAAGAGAGATACATACATACATACATATATACATACATACATACATACATACATACATACATACATACATACATACATATATATTCATACATACATACATACATACATACATACATACATATATAGGTATATAAGCAGACTAGGGTGAGAAACGAGAGAGGGTGGATAAGTACTTCGAGAAAGTATAGAACAGAGGGGAAAAGGAATAAGAAAAGAGATGGAGTCGTGAAATAGAAATCGAAATCGAGCGGCGAAGTAACCGGGTTACTACGATACGTTACTTAGGTATACCAGCACTAAGATTTTCGAGGGTAATCCGGATCATATGTGTGTGTACTGTGTAGATAAGTTTGTTTCTATGTGTTCATGCGCGTGCTTTGGATAAAAGGTGATGGTCTTTCAGTTTCTACGTCGTAGAATATCGCATTAGGTGACCTGTTACAGAGTAAACGTCGAAGTGGAAGCAACAGATAGGAAGTTAGGTGCGAAGATGATGACATGGAACTTCTTCAAATTCGAATTATCCGCATTCTATCGGAAACAAAAATTGATTTCTTTTTAACTAAAATCCTTGGAATTATATGCGTTCGTTTTTTGTTATGCGAACGTTCTTCAATTTAACAATTATCTGATCGAATTTAACAAAATATTGAAATATATTTAATATTCGATGTACAGTATGCAATTTGGTATTTCGATAATTTTCTATATTTGAATATAAGTAATCAGAACAGAAATATAGCTCGAAACGTAAATATTGCGTACTCTAAAAAAAAAAAAAGAAAAGAAAAAAAAAGAAAAAAAAAGAAAAATAAAAATACTTAAAAAATAGAGGAAAATTAATCTAGTAAATTTTGTTTTTTTTTTTTTTTTTTGTTTTAAGAATCTGCGTATCTTTCCGGAAAAACAGATATTATATGGTGAGATTTTCGTAAAAAGGATGTTCGTGTTTTTTGACTTGGTTTATAAAAGGTAACTTGAATAAATAGCTATAATTCCGTTGAAAGTTCTAGCTTTTCCTCGAAAAGCACTGTAGCTTGTGGACAGTTTTCGTTTATTTTCCGCGCAATGGAAATGAAGAGACGCTGTCTGGATTTTCCTTAATCTCATCGGAGTCAACTATAATCCATGAAGGAAGGAAGATCAGCGAATGAAAAACGTTTC